CGAAGGCTCTCCCTGCCCGATGGATGACATGTCGGACGCGGAGGACGAACCCGAGGCACAGGTGAATGATTGGCGCTTCTCGGAGCTGCGAACCACTGACCTTGCAGCTTTGCGAGAAGTGGATGTCTCCGCCCCTTTCCGGCTGCCAGTCATCTTTGATGCGCATTGGAAAGGGATCAGCACCACACCCACCAAGCATGGGCCCCAACGTCCCCAAAATGTGTGGTATGACGCAGCCCCTGCTCATTGGGCTGCCATTAAGGGGCTCATGCGAGCCAAACATCCAACCAAGCAGCGACTCAACAGCTTCTGGTTTAGGATGTACTGTCATGGCACCCCCAAGGACCCTGATCCTTCGGCCCTGCGTGCTGCAGTTACCTCCTTCCCCTTTCAGTATAAGGACGAAGGTGTTGTGCAGTACAGGCAAATCCAGGAAGCTGTCCGGGTGATGTGGCTCGCGGCCCAAACCTCAATGACAAGATACATGCGTATCCCCATTCCGGACGGCATCCCTGAGTGGGGGGTTGATGAGCAAGAGCTGCCTCCAATGCAGGTCATGCCCAGCCGTACCGCAGGGAAGCGTTCCCATACCACCTCAGCTGGCCATCGCTCCCGGCGTCCGGACTGGGATGGCTCCTGGCAATAGACAGCAAACTGTCATCTGAGGGCTCCTACTGACGCCGTGCGAACGCACCATTGAGTCCCTTCATGGCATGCTGCCTAGCGTGATGTGAGCCCTCACATCTCCTCGCCGATACATGCCGCAAGACTACCTAGGGATATTCTTGGTTTGGCAACCCTCTCGTGGTCTATGCCACGGATTGGATCGTGCTTGTCTTTTGTGTGCTTACAGCTTGCAGCTGTGAACACCCTTCTGGGTCGGCCCCGCGGTGTGCCTGTGGGAACGGGGGGCCTTTCTTTCGTGGTTGCTCCACTGGCCATTTGCCACGGACTACCCTGGACCGGTCCTGCCTGGATGTTCCAGCTTTGTCATCGGTAAAACGGCCAATCTTCCTTTCCTCTGCCCCCTCTAGGTGGGCAGGTTGCCCGCTTCTATGTGCTACGACCGTGTGTGAACCCCTCGGACTTGAGTGTTGACCACCTCTCGTCTGGACGGTGACACCCCCTTGTCGTACAACGGCGTCATGCCAATTGGGAGAGACCAGCTAGGGGATGCTGCTTCATGGCTGTGGACACTTCTACGCGGAGATCAGGTTTCCACTTCCCTGGCAATGTGCCATCGAGCACCTGTGGACAACCTGGCCTTCACGAGAGCCATTCTCGCCTGTGCTTGGGTTGCTGCGGGGTTCCCTGCCTGCTTGGGTGTATATCTCTGCTTGCGTCAAAGCAGCCATACATGACTACCTCCCCATCGGTAGGTGGCCAAGCGTGATGTGAGCCCTCACATCTCCTCGCCGACTTCTGTCGGTTTGGGCATGGAGGGTCTGATTCTGGTTATTGAACCCTCAACCCTCACCGGCCAAGGAGATAGTTGCTTGGCCTTGAGTGCGAAGTTTCGACTGGGGGACTCTCCCGCTTCCTGCGGGGCAGGTGGGGTCCCCGCCTGCTTGGGTTTACCTGATGGCTCTGATTGGAACGAAGCAGTCATGCCTGCTTTTGGCCGTCGGACGAGACTCTTGTGAGTCAAAAGAACGTTGCGCCTTGTGCTCGGAGAGGCTCCACTGGCTGACCACCATGGAGTGCTCTGGGCTGGTCCTACCCTTTGTTCTTGCCGTTAAGTCCCCACTGGCTGACCACCATGGGGCAACTTTATACTTCGGATCAAGAAGGTTGGCACCTGCAACGTCCCGTGCCAAGGCACGACTATGCCCCACCTGTGATGGCGGACTTGTGAACCTTCTCGTGAACGGCCTTGGCTGGTGCTGAATGTATTCGCATCGGTGGCTGCATGATGGTGGTTTTGTGAATCTGGCAACGTCGCATTTTGCGACGCACCTGCGCACTCGGTGCTACATGTGTGCTCCCGGCCTCTTCGACGATTTCGAGTACTGAGTGCACAGGGTGACCTAGCAGTTCGGCGCGCTGGCTGTGGACACTTCTACGTGGAGATTATGCACCCGCTGACTTGGCAGGGAGCCATTCCCCACTTGTAGAACAACCTGGCCCTCTTGAGACTCTAGAGGGTCACCCTCGTCTGAGCTTGGCCTGCGGCAGGGCAAGTGGGCTCCCCGCCCGCGTGGATGTTACCTGAAGGCTCTGATTGGACCAAAGTAGCAATACCATGGAGATCCTTGCACTTCGGCACCAATGTGATGTGAGCCCTCCCATCTCCTTACCGACGTACCTCGCGGGTTTGGGTTTGGAGGGACCTGATGCGTGCCGATGCGCAGGCCAGCGCCAAGGTTGCGTGGCCTTGTGTGAGATGCCTGGACTGGGAGGTTCCTCGTTGTTATTATAAACCCTGTGGCGTTAAGGGTTTGGTAACTCGCTGTGGACTCTCCCCGTGGAATCGGTAGCTGCAGCTACTCTCGCCCCCCCTCTGGCCGTGCGCGGGCACCTCTCTGGGTGGGCACTTGTACGCCAGGTTGACTGGAGAACCCTGTGCTCGGAGCTACTCCACTGGCTGACCACCATGGAGTGCCCTGGGCCGGTCCTGCTTTGATTGTTCTTGCTGTTAAGTCCCCACTGGCTGACCTCCATGGGGCATATGCCCCCTGTGCCGGGCGCGGACACCTCTCTGGGTGGGCACTTGTACGCCAAGGTGAATGGAGCACCCAGAGCTCGGAGCTACTCCACTGGCTGACCACCATGGAGTGCCCTGGGCCGGTCTTGCCTTGATTGTTCTTGCTGTTAAGTCCCCACTGGCTGACCACCATGGGGCATATGCACATCTTTCATCCCCCCTAGGGAGTCTGACTTGCAACATCCTTTCGCCATTGAGTGTCGGTTGTCTGTCCTTGACAACGAGTACGTGATCCGAACCTCTTCTGATGACCTCGGTTTGAATAACCGCTGTCGCACCAGTGGCTACATGATGGTGGTTTTGAGAATCTGGCAATGTCGCAATTTGCGATTCCCCCACAAGCTCTGTGCTTCCTTGTGAACCGGGACTTCATTGACGACTTCGAGTACTGAGTCCGTGGGGTATCTAGTAGTTCAGCGCGTTTGCTCGCTTTGTTTCTTTGGTGTTTGTTTGCTTGGTGGTTGCTTGGTGTGTCTGGCGGATTGTGTGCGCTGACTTTGTTTCACCCTTTACGTCGAGCCCAACAAGACCGGCCTACTGTGCTACTGATGTAGTAAAGAGGCGTCAGTCCAAAAAAAAAAAAAGGGTTTGGGTTTGGGCGTTGGTTTGCTGCCCCCCTCTGCGTTGCGGGCTTGTCTGGTTGCCGGCGGCTGCCCCCTTGGGGTGTCGTCGCCCCCTGTCTTGCGTGGGAGTGGTGGGGGTGCTGGTGGTGTTCCTGTTCCTTTCTGGTCTCATATCGTGCTCTGTCCGCGGTGTCTTGTTTGCTCCCCGGCGTTATCACCGGAGGTGCGACTGGTTGTATGCTCGGAGTCTCCCGCAGCATGTCGGTGGTTATATGGTTTGGCGACTCGTGGCTGTCTTGGGTTGACTGTTGCTGGTTGTTGGTTGTGTGTTCGTGGCTCGCTGCCGCTTGTCCGCTTGCTGATGCTATTGCAACAGGGCTGTCTTGGGTTGACTGTTGTTGGTTGTTGGTCGTGTGTTCCGCGCTTCCTCCGCCCCTGCCGGTGCCCCCGCCGCCTTGCCCCCCTGTTTCGTGCGCCCCCTGTCCTCCTTCTGGTCGGTGCTTGTGTCTGTTGAGCATCTCGGCCCAATCGGGGCGGGAGCTGTCCCCGCTCGCGCTTGCTCCCGAGCTCCTCTGCTGGTGTGCTGCATGGGCGTGCGCCCAGTTCTTCTTCAGCCAGGCTCGCCATGCTTTGTTTGCTCTGTTCCTCATCCTTTGCTCGCCCCGCCCTTCGTGTTTGTTCCTTGCTCTGCGTGCTGCTGCTTGCTCCGGCGTTTCCATGTCGTCCTCCGCGCTCGCTGCAGTGTGTTGCTGTCCTTCCCCCGAGTGCTGCTGTTGCTGCTGGAGCTCCGTGTGGTGTTGCGCTGCTGGTGCGCTCGGGTGGTGGTGGTGGTTGTGGTGGGGAGTGTGCCCCGTCGGCGTGGCTGGGTGGTTGTCATCTTGTGGTGGTTGTGGCGGTGGTGGTTTGGGTGTTGCCGGCTGCTCTGGCGCTGTTGTGTATGGGCCCCCCGCCGTGCTCGTGGTGTCGGGGTGGTTGCTTGCTGGTGGGGTTCGGCGCTCCACTGGCGCCTCTGGTGTTCTCGATGTGTCCGCCCCGGTGGTTGGTGTGTGCGCCGGTCTCCCCGGTGGTTGTTTCACTGGGAGTTCGCTTCGCCGGGGCGCCGTTGCAGGCGGGACTTTGGGTGTGGCGGCCCCCCTGTCCGCTGCCCTTGGTGGGTGAGGTGGTGCTTTGGGTGTGGCTGCGACTGGCTCGTAGTCTCTCGGGTCAGTGGCGGGGTGGGGCGGCGTCATTGCCCCCTCCGCAGGTTTGTTTTGGGTATTGCTTGAGTCGAGTTGTGACTGTTGTGGTTGTTGTGAAGGCTGTGTGGGTACTTGTTCTTCTGTGTGGGGCAGCAGCTGTGTGGGGGGGGGGGGCGGCTTGGCTTGCGGTTGTGGGTCGGTGGGCAAGGGTGCCAGGCCTCCCCCTGTCAGTGTGGGGGGTTGTGGGTGCCACGGGTCGTGGTCCGGGTCGTAGTCTTGGACGATGCTGATTGTCCAGGGGCTTGTTGCTTCTGGTGTGGGGTCTTGGGCCGTGTGTGCTGGCTGTTGCCCCGTCCATCTCCTCGCGGGTCAGGGTCTTGGGCGGGTTCTGCGTGTTGGTTGCTTCAGTGGTGCAGGTTGGCTGGTTAGGGGGTGGTGCTTGGTTCGCCTTGGCCCGGGCCGGTTTGAGATCTCTAAGTCCGTATGCGTCCAAGCTTACCAAAGAATTCTGAGTGAAATGTTCCAGCGAATATATCGCATTCATCAGAATATCCAATGTCGAAAAAAGGGGAATATCGCAGAAGCTCAATTCAGTACCCTCTTTTGTTTCTCGATGAAATGGCGGATCACAAAACGCAAGACCACCCGAAAGAAACGATTGGCGTCTCGCTCGTTGATGCCATCCTGTGGGCGTGGAGGATAACCAGGTGTCGGGGTGGCTCCGCCGCGGAAACGCTCCCACACCGCCTACATGGCCTCAAGCGGCGGCTGCTCCGGCTCGTCCACCCGCAGCCACCGCAGAAAGCGGAAGATCGCCTTGTCGCTGCGCTGGTTCTCTGTGATCTTGTGCACGCAGCCTCCTGCCAGGTCGTGCAGCAGCAAGTCCTTCAGCGAGCGCAGCACCGGTGCGCCCCCGAAGGCGTCCTGCACGCGAGCAGCTGCCAGAGGTCGCCCAGCAGCAGGAAGCGCGCCCGACGGTTCGTGGAGAGCTCCGCGATGTCGGCCCACAGCCCCACGTCGAGCCGCGTAACCTCCTCAACCACGAGCACGCTTGCGTCAGCGCCACCAGGTAGCGGGAGGCACCTCCAGCTGGCTGTGCAACAGCAGCAGTTTATGCAAAACAGTGACATCATCTATGCAACAATGGATGATGCAACAACAGCAGAAATGGGATGTTTAGGTGCTTCGCCGGTGGGTACTCCTTCGCAAGGGGCCCAGGTGTTTCGGGTTGCAACCCGAGTCCAAGCCTCACCTATGCAAAAGGATGTCGAAAGGGATGTCTTTGCTCGGCAGACAAATGGTTGCCGAGTGCCAACTATTGACTTTTCGTCATGGAAGGATCGAATTTCTGAAGCTCTGGGCTTCTTGACATGGATGGAGAAGTTGACAAGTTGGGTTGGATTGGGTTCAGAAGTGTTCCCGAATGAGTTGATGCATGCGGTGAAGACCCATGATGAGACAAGACTTCAGCAGGATCAGCTTACTGTTGAGCAACAGAAGCGGTCGACTCAACGTTGGAAGGGATTCAAGTGGAAGTTTGATGGGATTCAGTGAGAGTTTGGTGGATCGCTGATTATGTAATTGTTGTTCAGGGTGCAGTTTGAGTTTGTCTGTTTCTGGTGGAGGTTTGTCTGTTTCTAGTGGGGGTTTGTTTGTTTCTGGTGGGGGTTTTTCTGTTTCCAGAGCTTTGTCTGTGTTTAGTGGGGGCTTGTCTGTTTCTAGTGGGGGTTTGTAGGTTTTCGGAAGGCTGCTACCTGAATTGAAAAGACCCCAAACCAAGAAGGCAACGATGCTAATCCCTGAAAGACATTGGTCTGCGAAAAGAAGTTCGCCGCCATGCTGAGGCTCCGACCGTCATGCATGGATGTTGGCTTAAATGCTTGAGGGTACAATTGCTGATCTGCCTGCGTCTTGTGCGGCTGCCCGGCTTCCGGTTCCCGGGAGCAGCAAGGGGAGTCCTAAACGTTCTGCATTGATCCTTCTGCAGGTATCAGTTCAGAGGATGCATGGTCGGCGAAGAACAGAGCGCAAAAAAAACACTGAATTCATGTATGCTTTGACGTGCAGCTCCGAGAGCATGTCTTAGAGAGCATAAACAATTTTCCGACCCTGCGAGGCAATCGTTTGCCCGAGGCCGATGTGCGCTAGTCGTGTCGTCCATGGTTGCAGCGCAAGTCCGCCTTCTCATTTCCACTAATCGGCGAGGGGGGTGTTGTTTTGCACTTTGATAACCGTCGCGTTTTAACACCATGTGCATATCGTGCCATTACATTACCTCGCAAACCCTCTGTAGTCTGACAAGACGGCCTTCCATCGCGATGGACAAGGCATTATTTCTGTGGCTGTATCACGAAATTTTTCTTGGGAAAAATTTCTGGTTGCATTTGCGGTGTTTTGTTTTAAAACGGGACGTGTCCATTTGTGATGCACACACATGCACGCATCATGACATTTAAAATGGCAAGTGCAGCACGTGCCCATTTTCTTGAAAGCAGATGTCATGTTTTGTGAAACAACATGTGATATCTGCAGCACCTCGGTTCGAGTAAGGTGCACAGAAAAATTTTTGAAGGCGCAACGGCTCCGCTTGTTAACAGGCCTGATCCTTTCAACAAGTTTCCCTCTTAGAGGGCGTGCAAGCCAGAGTGATCTCTGGTGGATGGACCCAGCGGATCGCGTTCTTCAAGAGCTTCAGCGTGAGGTTGCCCAGGTTGAGCCCCTGCGACATCAGGTAGCTGTCTTTCAGGGTGATTTGAGTGCATACCATCTTGAGGTCGAGGCTTTGCGTGCGGAAGTTAGGGCCTTGCGTGATCAGATCGCTCCTTTGCAAGAGGCCCACGTTCGTGCTTCTGCCCGCCTGCAGCCCCGCCTTGTGCGTCCTGCTCCAGCCATTGAATCCTTGACGGAGCGGGTGTTGCATAACCAGAGCTGTTTTCAGTTTCTTGTTGTGGCGTTGCAGAGAACCTTCCCTCACGTTCAGTGGCAGTCCCTCCACGAGGACTAGACCACCAGATCTGCCTTGAGTCTTCCTGTGCAGGGGGGGGGGGGAGTGTCAGCCTCAACTTCGATACTGGTGTGCAGCTGCCTGAGATACTTTTCCACTGCGGTACACTGCGCAACATGTCGAATCGCAAAAGACCAGCTGATTTTGACCTTGACAGAGCAATCGAGGAAGCTGGTTTTTCAGGTGCCCGGAGTGTTGAATTGATGCCTTGGGAGAAGCCACCTTTCAAGGGCGTTTTTGAAGTGCAAACATCAGTTCCATTCGCCCAGCCTCTACGTGTGCCCATGCCAAGACCTAATATACCACAGTGGCCGGTATCTGCTTATCAACTCAAAGCCGCTAAGAGAGCGCCACTTTCTGTGCCTGCATCAGGTTCCTTACCGCCTGTGTTTGACCAGGTCCTTCGCAAGGCTCGTCTCGAACCAGGGGTCAAGCAGTCATTGGACAGGGAAGCAGTTGTGCGGCGATGGTTGTGTGTGTTGTTGCATGATACCAGTGCATCTTCAATGGGCCAGATGCTTGCGGGGAGTGCGTGTGATGGTGCCGAGCTTGTGTCTGAGACGTTTGAGGGCAAGGCAACAAGTACTCTTCTGAAAAGAGTCCGCTGCATCGGGAAATACGTGCATTGGGCGTCGGACAATGGGTGCGATGCTTTCCCCTTCTCAATTGAGAAGATCCGGAGTTACCTCAAGGATGCTATTTCGGGTAACAAGAAGAGTGCCATCCGGGATTTTGCAAGCTCCTTGAATTTTTGTCGCTTTGTGTTGGGGTTTCAGGTGAGTGATGATGTGACTTCACACCCATGGTTCAAAGGGACGATGAGATTTGCCAACATCCGGCTCCGGGATGCCCACCGATCACGGACCTTGACTGTGAAAGAGGTGAAGCATCTTGAAGAGGCCTTGATCGGGGGCCGTTTGGACCGTTTTGATCGATATGCGCTCGGAGTTATGTTGTTTCAGCTGTATGCTCGAGCCCGAGTGTCCGATTTGCGTAATCTGTTCAAGGTTTACCTGGACATAACCGGGGCAGAAGGGTATATCGAAGCACATACGTACGAGCACAAAAGCCGTCGCATCACCAGTGGACCCAGTGCTGTCTTCATCCTGGTGGCTCCGATCCAGGGGCTCGCCTCCCAGCCTTGGGGGCTTGCTTTTGTTCAGGCTGCCAAAGATGTTGGGTTTGACTTTGAGAAAGGTTTCAGAGGCCCGATGTTGCCCCGTTTTGCCAGCGATTACACTTGGTCAGGGGATGCGGTGGATGCTGCTGAAACCACAAGGTGGCTGAATGGCATCCTCAAGGCGCTGATGGGCGAAGTCCTTGATGGCCTAACGAGCCATGGCCTGAAAGCCACAACACTTTCGTGGGTGACAAAGGCAAATTACGGGGACCGTACCATCCTCGTGCTTGGCCATCACTCACTGGGGGCTAGGGGCAAAACTTCCGAAGCATATGGTCGCGATGTGCAGGCGGGACCGCTGAGAGACTTGTGTGCATGCTTGAAATCGATCAGAGTGGGGGTCTTCCTTCCAGACTTGACCCGCAGTGGCATGATCAGGGAGCACGCTGAGTCGCCTGATGAGTTCCCAAGTGGTTTTGCTTCTCGCCCCTCTTTCCAGCCGGCCTTTGCACCGTCCTTCAGTGTTGCTGGCCATGCAAATGACACGGCGCCCGACGAGGCAGCACCTTCTGAAGGGGGGGCTTCAGCGTTAAGTTTGGATCGAGCTCCCGGTTTCCAGGAAGGTGAGACTGAGGTTGCCAGGGAGGCCGAGGAAGATGCAGTCTTCGGTGGCGTGAGCCCAGATCGTGTATGTGAGTCAGGTTCCTTGGAGTCTTCTAGCGACAGTGAATCCTCGGGCTCATCCAGCGAGCCGGTTGATTATGATGGCTTCCTCCGAGGCTTCGAGGTGCAGGCCCCGCGTGCAACCATAGGGGTGGACCTGGATCTCTTCCAGAACCCTAAGACCAAATCAATCCACGCAAGGGCCCGAGGTGCGACACCCGACAGCAAGATGCTTTGCGGTCGGCCGGCAAAAGGTTTTGTTCCCTTCTCTGGAAGAGTGCACAGCAAGCATTGGAAGTGCAAGCAGTGTACGATGGCTAAGCCCATCCGAGACACTGGCTCGCTTTTGCATCACCTGGACAGGCGCCTCGAGAGGTAAGGCGCTGTGAAAAGCTTGCGTGCGGCTCGTGGAAGCATTTGCGGATGTTCGCGGCAACATCCTTACTGCCGGTCGTGGCACCGGCAGTATATCTGGGTACCACGGAGTTCCAGCTTCTGTTTTTCCTGAAGGGATGGAGCTTGACTGTTTCAGCAGCCACTGCTCACATGCTTGTTGTCTTCAGTTGGCTCTCTGTAGCAAACTGCAACTCGACAATGCGATGTGTCAACCTGCTGCGCTCAGTCTTCAAGGATTGTAGCTCGTGGTTCGATCACGGCTGCAGAGTTTGTAGAAGGTGCATTCTACGAGATGATTTGACATCATGTTTGCAAATCGTGTTTGCAATTACTGACCTCGTTTTCGGAAGCTCTAATGGCAGGTGCTTAGGACCTTTGCAGCTTCTTTGGCCACAGTCTATACAGTTTGCCGTAGCACCTCTGTGCAGGTGTTGTTAGGTCCAGTTTTCGCTTACCCTAAGATCCTGTGCGCCATGTCTGCCTTGTTGACTGAATCAACTGCAGTTTTGAAAGAGCGTGCCGCTCAGGTGGGGTTGCCAGATGATGCATTGCAACGGCTGCTTGACCAGGGCGTCGACACTCTGGCCAAACTGGCGTTTGCCCCTGGTCATCCCGGGGAGTCCCCCAGTGACGAGAAACTCAAGGCCTTAGTTGCTCCAGTAGCTGCCCCCGGGGGTGCAGGTGGTGCCGAGCCCTCTCTTGGTACCGTCGCCGCGGTACGCAGGTTAGTCTTCGAAGCACAAACTTTGGTCGTCAATGAGACCAAGTGCCTAGTTGAGAATAAAGAAGAGCAGCCAAAAGAATTGCCTCCAGCCGAACGGCGTGATCGCCTGCAGAAACAAGCTGCCCGCCTTGCAGGTGTTGACTTGTCTGGTGTCAACGAGTGCTCGCATGCAAGCTATGACCTTTGCCTGAAGCTGATTTCTGACAACTGTGTCTCGTATCTTCAGCCTTCGAAGTTTACCTGCCGGCAGGCGGAACTGCGTATGGATAAGCCCCGCAAGGAACTTGATGTCGCGGCCCCGGGCTCGTCCTCTTCCGTGCTCCTTATCAAGGACCGCGCTGCAGAGCAGCATTGCGACGTGACGCATGCCCTTGATCTATTCCAGGCCCTGCATCGTCGCGCGTTGGCCATGGACTTGTTGGCCTTAGCACGTATGCTCGCGTGCAAGAGTGGAACTCTTTTCTTATGAACCACCTCCAGCAGCCTGTCCTGGCGGGATACCGCAGCCCCACTGTTCAGCAACTCCTTCACGCTGATAGAGCTGCCTGGGTCCGTTTGTCCGAGTTAACCCCAGCCGGGGTGCGTCGCAAGGCTACCGGTGAATTGCCGTTGGATAGCCTCTGGGCTGATTTGCAGAAGGACCCGCGCGTAGTCTTTCACCTTTTGCCGCTTCCTGACTCTTCGGGCAAGCATCCTGCGCCCGCCCCGCCGGGCGTTCCTGACCCCCCTGAGGGGCCCCCAGCCAAGAGACCCCGGAAGCCCAAAGGCAAAGGTAAAGGGAAGGAAAAGCAAACCCCTACTGAGCCCGCCAACCTGCCTCCTGAGCTGCGAGGCCTCTCATCATGGACACGAACAGGGAAGCGGCGCTGTTGGGGTTTTAACATGGCCGCAGGCTGTCCCGGCGCCAAAGCTGGACAAACTTGCAGCAAGGGCTTGCACGTTTGCATGCGGTGTGGAGGTATGCATGGGGCACATGTGTGCCCTAAGAAACCCGCTTGACTGGCGGAGCCCGCAATCACTTCATGTTCCCACCCTCAGCCTGCGGCCCCTGTGGAAGAGGCTGCTGTGCCTGCTGGCTTGTTGCCGGAGGAAGTGTTGCCTGCCCGGCCTGATGTTCCCCTTTCAGAAAGTGCAGCTCACCCTGGCGGTAGCAAGCAGCTGACTGTTTTCCATGCTCTTGAAGTGTTTGCGGGCAGCGCTCGTCTTACTGTGGCCCTTCGTGCCGTGGGCTTGCAAGATTCCTGTGGCGTCGATCATCGGATCCCCAGGCATTGCCCTTGTCCCATGGTCAAACTTGACCTCACTCGCGATTTTGATGTACAGCTTTTGCATGATATGATCGACAACCCTTTTTGTCTTTATGTGCATTTTGCACCACCGTGTGGCACGAGCTCCCGTGCTCGCCTGATCCAAGAGACCGATCACGATCCCGAACCGTGTCGGGATGATACCTTTCCTGATGGCCTACCCGGGCTTCCTGATCGTTTGGCTCAACGTGTGGCTGCGGCCAACCGCCTCTATGGCGTAACCGCTGCAGCCCTGAAACGGGCGGTTCTTGCTGGCAAGCTTGTCAGCTGCGAGAATCCCCTGAATTCTTTCATGTGGCAGACCACTGCGTGGCGTCAGGGCACCTCCGGTTTGTCCTTGCGGGAAACTGTGTTTGACCATTGTTGCTACGGGGGCAGCCGCCCCAAGCATACGTTGTGGGTGCACAACGTGCCAGCCTTCGACCAACTCAGCCTGACATGCCCTGGCGAGTCCGCCTCCCATAAGCATTTGCCTTGGGGTCGTGTGTCTAAGTTCCGCTATGCTACTAGTGAGGAGACCGCTTACCCGCTTGGGTTGTGCAAGGCGGTCGCCGCACTCCTGCTTGAGGAGCTCTGCCAGCGTGGGTTCCAGCTGCCTGCTCGTTCCCTGTCAGATGAGGTTCGGCAGCAACATAGAGCGGCCCAGGTCAGTCTCGGCTCCCAGCCCCGTGGCAAGAAGGTTGCTCCTATGGTCGCTGAGTTCCGTGATGTGGTCGTTGTGACATCTGACCATGACTTCTTGCCTGCTTCAGCCAAGCTGCCCGTGGCCGTGCCTGTTCCGCCCTCAGCCTCGTGTGACCCGCCTTTGCCAGAGCTGCCCATGGGTTCTCGTATATTGCGTCGTGTTGCACTTGGGGGTGGAGAGACGCCGCGTTCTGGACCTTCATCCCAGCCAAGCAGTAGGAATCAGGGAAACCCGAACTGCCCCGTCGAGCAGTTCGCCTCTGTGTGCCTTCAACAGAAAACTATCTTGGCTGATGATGTAACTCAGCTGTTTCAGCTCTTGAAGTCGGATCGCTTGGCCAGAGGTGCTGGCCTGGATGATGAGTTTTCGTGGTCCACAGGGGCCTATGCACAGGGAGGGGTTACCGGGGTTAGGACTAACCTGCGGCTCAACCCGGCTGTCAGTACTATGCTGTGTCGGTTCGTAAAACAGCATGCACCAGGGCATCCGTTCTCAGCCATCATGCTTGGACGAAACCTTCAAGGAGGGGTTCATGTTGACAAAAACAATGCCCAAGGTTTCCCTAACTGTGTTTTAAAACTTTCATCTTTCGAGGGTGGAATTTGGATACACAATGAGCTTGGGGACATGCCCTGCCCAGATCCGAACGTGCCTGACTTGATGGGCTGTGAGCTGAAGTTCGAGTCCAACAGGATCCTGTTTAATCCCCACCATAAGCACTGTGCAATGCCCAGGCATGGGGCGACACGTGACATACTTGTTGCCTACACCACCAATCACACAGATCGCTTGACTGCAGACCAAACGGCTGAGCTGCAGTGTGTGGGGTTTGCTTTACCCGAACAGCCAGGACACCAAGCCTCCTCACCGGCAGGGCCCGAGGAAGGCTCCCCCCCATTAGGTAGGGTTCCCGATAGGTTTAGGACGTGGGTTGGAGTACCGTGGACGTGCGATGAATTCATCGAGCAAGCGCTTGAGGCTAAGCACCCGCGTCTTATGAGTTCAGGAGTTCCACCTGAGCTGCAGCAAACGATTGACTTCTTGGCGTCGGAGGGCATGCACACCGTTGGTGCCAGTAGGACTGAAGCTTTACGTCAGTGGCTAGGGCGAGCCGCAGAGCTCGACGAGCAAGAACGTGTGTATAAGGAGACACTGCCCAAGCACTGTGCGAAAACCTTGAGCAAGAAAAGGCTGCTTCTTTTCGGCGAGATGATTGAGGCGGCCGGCCACAATGATCCGTCGTTGGTTGCGGATATGTCTAAGGGTTTTGCTTTAGGAGGTCCGATCCCCTACTGCCCTGAGTTCCGCGCTAAGCGTACAGCTGCCACCATGGCGGTCGATGACCTGCGAGGGTCAGCACAACGAATGCGGAAGGGCATCCTAAACTCTACCAAGAGCTCAGGAGATGATGTGGTGGATGCTGAAACTTACCGAGTCACCTTGGACGAGGTGGAGCGGGGGTGGCTGGACGGGCCGCTGAAAGAGAGCGACTTGGGGGCCAGCTCTTTGTTGACCAGGCGCTTTGGCGTTGTGCAGAATAACAAAACACGGCCCATCGATAACTACCTTGAAAGTGGTTTGAATGCCACATCTTCATCGTACGACACAATCACCGTGCACACCGCCGACTGCATAGCATCAGGTTTGGCCCGTCGACTGAGGGCCGATGCAAAGTGCAGGTTGCACCAACTTCTCTTGAAGTCCTGGGACCTTCACAAGGCCTACAAAAACCTTCCACTATCCCTGGAGGCGCTAGAGGACAGTTTCTTGTGCGTCTACGACCCAAAAGGGAAATGTCCCCGAATTTTCCGACAAAAGGTTCTTCCGTTTGGATCACGGCACAGTGTGCACGCATTTTGCCGGGTGTCACTAGGGATATGGAAAGTCCTTGTAGTGCTGTTCTTATGCCACATCAACGTTTATTTTGACGACTTTGTGGGTGTGGAGCTGGCTCCTCTGGCCCGCCTCTTCGACATTGGTGTTTGCCTAGTATTCCGTTTGTTGGGGTGGGATGTCGCCGAAGACAAAGAATCTGTGTTCGACTCCTGTGCAAAAGTGTTGGGGTTGAAGTTCGACTTGTCTGAGTCCCGTCTCGGACGTATCACTCTGTGTAACACGGAGTCGAGGCGAGACGAGATCTTCGAGGCCTTGTCCGACATCCTTTCTTCTGGTTACCTCACGCAAAAGGATGGCGAGCGCATCAGGGGCCGACTCCAGTTTGCTGAAAACCAGATAGCTGGAAAGGTTGCTGGAACAGCCTACAAACAACTGTCGCGGTTTGTGCAACGAGGGGGAGGACACCTGGATGAGTGCACCAGGGTAGCCCTACTAAGGTTGCGCGATCGAGTCAACTTCTCACCGCCCAGGGTGATCTGCGCCAACATCTTGACTACCATGCATCTTTATGTCGATGCCTCTTGTGAGGGTGATAACGTAGGCTTGGGTGGTGTTCTTGTTAATGAAGTGGGTTCGAAGATGGGCTTTTTCAGTGACCGCGCGTCTGAGCATGTGAGACGTCGCATGAATCCTGAGAGCGGCAACCCCATTTTCGAGTACGAATGCTTAGCCATCCTTGTCGGACTCAGGTTGTGGGCTCCGCTCATTCGCAGTACCAACCTCGTTGTGTTTACTGACAACGAGGGTGCCCTGGCCTGTATGGTTGCCGGAATTTCAAGCAACAAGTATGGAGAAGCGATTGCTCAGCATGTTCATGTGCTGTGTGACGAGCTTGGGCTTAACATCTGGTTTGAACGCGTGAACACCTGCTCAAACGTGGCAGATGCCCCCTCACGCGGCTCTAAAGATCCAGAGCTGGGCAAAGAATTCACGATCGATCTTGATTCACTCGTTGATCACGCCTTTGAGTCTTGGGGGTTGTGAGAGGCATGATCATCTCCTGATGTCATGTCCCGTATCCAAAGCATTTGGATGCAGCACGCATGCCGTAGGTATGGTGCACTGGGAGTTCTACTCGAACTTTCCCCAAGATCTTCTGCCACCGGCATGAAAAAGGTGTGATTGTGAATGAGTCTGATTGATTAGTGTTTTGCATCCAGTTTTGAGATAGATTCTTGATTCACTTACTTCACCGGAGATGAAGTGAGATTGAATTTTCCCTAAACAAGATACAATTGACCTCCAGTTGAAAGCAAATGCAATTTACAGCAAACAGAAATAAGACGGCCTTCCATCGCGATGGACAAGGCATTATTTCTGTGGCTGTATCACGAAATTTTTCTTGGGAAAAATTTCTGGTTGCATTTGCGGTGTTTTGTTTTAAAACGGGACGTGTCCATTTGTGATGCACACACATGCACGCATCATGACATTTAAAATGGCAAGTGCAGCACGTGCCCATTTTCTTGAAAGCAGATGTCATGTTTTGTGAAACAACATGTGATATCTGCAGCACCTCGGTTCGAGTAAGGTGCACAGAAAAATTTTTGTCTCCCACCCAGCCCACCCGGGGTTGTGAGAGGCATGATCATCTCCTGATGTCATGTCCCGTATCCAAAGCATTTGGATGCAGCACGCATGCCGTAGGTATGGTGCACTGGGAGTTCTACTCGAACTTTCCCCAAGATCTTCTGCCACCGGCATGAAAAAGGTGTGATTGTGAATGAGTCTGATTGATTAGTGTTTTGCATCCAGTTTTGAGATAGATTCTTGATTCACTTACTTCACCGGAGATGAAGTGAGATTGAATTTTCCCTAAACAAGATACAATTGACCTCCAGTTGAAAGCAAATGCAATTTACAGCAAACAGAAATAAAGAGAGTGTCCTCTTCTGCATGGCTTAACGGTTTATTTCCCTCAGTGCCTGTGATTACAGTCTGGTGTTTCTCTGACAATTATAAAGAAGAAGCTCAGCGAAAACGAAAAGCCAGCGAGAAAGATGAAGCTGAAGCCAAAAAGGGCAAGGGATCTCCGGCGCCTGCAACGCCAGTGGTGGTTCACCCGTCAATGATCGAGCAAATTGCTAAGATGACAACGGCTGAGTTGAAGGGTTTTATCGAGCATTGATTGAAAGATGATGCGGAAAAGATCGAGGAGCAGAGTCGATCTCGAGCTTCTGGATCCGTGAAGACAGAAGCAGCTCGCAAGGTGTTGGAGGCATCCCAAGCCGTCCAACAAGCTGCTGAAGAAGCAAAAGTTGCCATGGCTCACGAGGATCTCCATTTTGAGTGTAGACCTTGCCCTGCTTTTCGCCATGGATCTTCCGTGCTAGCCATGGCGCGTCCTTGCTGCGTGTATGGGTTTTGCAAGCGTTTGGAAACCACAGCCGGTGGGAGTGCGAACTTTCGTTTGGAATCTTTAGGAAGAGCATGTCGCCGACGTTTGTGGACAGGAGGTGGGATGATCTGGCCCGCTTGACAACGATTCTGGAATTTTTTTGTGATACGTGCGATTCTCTGCCAGCTTTCGGACGGCTGGTGAATGTGGCTGGAAGTACGAACTTTTCTTTCCTGGAAGTTGCGAGGTTGAGACTGAGGATTACTTGAAGTTCGAGGAGTGAGAGCGGCCTGCTGAAAGCCTTGCACTAATTCGCTTGTCACCACGAACTTTCGTTAGTTGGGTTGACCACAAAACCAATTGCTCTTAGCATTAGGATGCATGGACTTTGGATTTTTTTCACGAGTTTGGGACAGCGAACTCTTGGATTCAAGCTAATACCGAATCCAGGACATCCGTGACACGTATGCAGGAACATTTAATGGTCAAAGACCTTGTTGTTGTTGTTGTTGTTGTTGTTGTTGTTGTTGTTGTTGTTGTTGTTGTTGTTGTTGTTGTTGTTGTTGTTGTTGTTGTTGTTGTTGTTGTTGTTGTTGTTGTTGTTGTTGTTGTTGTTGTTTTGGTTGTTGTTGTTGTTGTTGTTGTTGTTGTTGTTGTTGTTGTTGTTGTTGTTGTTGTTGTTGTTGTTGTTGTTGTTGTTGTTGTTGTTGTTGTTGTTGTTGTTGTTGTTGTTGTTGTTGTTGTTGTTGTTGTTGTTGTTGTTTTTTTTTTTGTTGTTGTTGTTGTTGTTGTTGTTGTTGTTGTTGTTGTTGTTGTTGTTGTTGTTGTTGTTGTTGTTGTTGTTGTTGTTGTTGTTGTTGTTGTTGTTGTTGTTGTTGTTGTTGTTGTTGTTGTTGTTGTTGTTGTTGTTTTGTTGTTGTTGTTGTTGTTGTTGTTGTTGTTGTTGTTGTTGTTGTTGTTGTTGTTGTTGTTGTTGTTGTTGTTGTTGTTGTTGTTGTTGTTGCGTTTCGCGTGTTTGGTGGCGAGTACGGGAATGTGGCCAGGCATCCCCGTAGTCTTAGTGTTGAAGTGCCAATTGGGTTTGGACTTCAATGGTCTTTGAGCATATTCTCAGCAAAAGCGGGGGGTGGAAGATTGTGGCCGTTTTAGCTCCGTTTTTGTATAGCGTTTTGCTTCGGAAATCTTCTTCCGATCCCAAGTTTTCAGTTTGTGACCAGTCGGAACTTTCTATGGGCGTTCCATGGTATCTTGATCCACATGATTCACCCAGTGAATCATGGTGTGATGTTTATGCCCAATACGCTACATGTTTTGAGTCTTTGAAGAATTCGTTTGAGTAGCGGATGAGCAGTAGAAAACTTCGTTCTCAGGCACTCGTTTGAATTCGTTTTTGGGTTTTGTGCACTTCGTGAACTTCTGGCTCAGGTGTAAAAAAGAAGTTCGCCTTTGCGTCCCCTGGGCCAGTAGAAACTTCGTTCTGAGGCACTCGTTTGAGTTCGTTTTTGAGTGTTGTCACTTCGTGAACTTTTGGCTCAAGTGAGAAAAAGAAGTCCGCCTTTGCGTCCCTGGGCTGTGTTTACGCCTTGTACTTGCAAGGCAAAAGACCCTAAAGGTCCTACGTGCAACGTCTAATCCCCCCTGAACCATCCTGTTTTGGGCCCGATACCCTAAACTGTCCTAAGCCCTCAGACTAGGGCTCAGAGTTTGGGGGTTGGGGTGCAGGATTAGTGGTCGAGGGTTGAGGGCTTTGTTTTTGAGGTGGGAGGGTTTAGGTTTTGTTTTGGTGGGGGCTTGATGGTTTAGGGATGTATACAGGGTCCCGGTTGCGAAGGAAAGTCGGGTGAAGGTTTCAACGACCCCCTCAAATCTTGAGACTGAAGGGCAGGGGGATGAGAAACTCCGTTGTTTGGGCTCCTAACAGTCTCTGCTCGGTTATTTCGTGCCTCAACCAAGGGCCTTCAGGCACTTGTCACATCTTGCCACGGTCAATGTACTCTATGCTGGCTATCCAGGACCAAAAGCTTCCCTGGCCGGGTGATGGGGGTTTTTTCCGGCCTGCTTCACCATTCCAAACGGTAGCAGAAGCCAGCACTTGCTCACAGAGACGTGACGCACATACAGTCCACAGACATGGCCTATCAAGGCAGATGGTTCAGGTGGTGCGAGGTCGCGACGTGTGGAATTGCCAGTCGTGGTTCCAGTCACCAGGACCTGCGTCCCGGGCGGGAGGGGGATGCGCGCGAGTCATCAAGGAAGGGTTTGCAGGCGGGGCTTCGTTTGCAGCTTGTTGGTTGCGGCCTGCGCCGCGCGCAGGCCGGGGTGCTCAGGCGAGGGTGTCAACGCAAAAGCGCGAGGGGCGCCGTGCGAGCAGCCGATTGCACGCCGCAGGCAAGGCGATCGCCGGGCGGGACATCGCGTAAGCGAGTGGTTGGCACACATGCTTGGGCACAAGAGGAGCCGTGCACACCGGGTGTCAGGAGGTGTGGAAGGTGTTCCAGCAAGACTTGCTCTTCCTGCAGCCGGCGCCGTCCCCATGCGTATGCGTAGTGTGGGTGGGCCCGCCGCGCCGTACGCCCTCGCCCAACTCGCGCACGCCTGGCGGCGGGGCTCCCCGCCCCCAGCATTGTATACATGAGCGTTTTGTTGGACGCGATGCCGCAATGCTCTTGAAACCGGACGTAACAATGTCCAGGCTGGCTCTGGCGCCCGCCGTCTGGCAATGATGTACAGGTTGCCTGCCGCATGCTCAAGGCCGTCATGCTGCCCGAAGGAGAGCAAGGCTGGGGCCAGTGCATCACCTTGTTCACAGCCCCGGCCTGGCATGTTTCACGACAAACGGCTGCCGCATCCCATCAGCAATGCACCGACGGCTGCCCGAAAAACAGGCGCACCAAAGGCAAGAGTGCCGGGCGACATCGTGCAGTTGGCTGAGCGCGCTGTGAGCGCGCTGAGCGCGCTGAGCACGTGTTGAAGTGGGCGGGTGTCCTCGTCGAAGGTAGACACCCAAGTTTTGGCCTATGCCCCGAAAACGAGCCTGCTCCCAAATGTCAGAGGCAAATGGGGTGTTGTGCTGGCACGAGAACATTTACGCAGCATTGGCGTGCGACTCATATCGCGCGATGCAGGACACCAGCTGACAACGTATCACAGTTGTTTGCAACGGAATGCAAGTCACGGTTTTGGCTGCGCAAGGATTCAGGCACAGCCCGCAGCAGGAGTGTGCGCAAATGAATAGACGAGCTTGAGACGTCGTCAATGGTTGGCCGGCACTCGCCACCGCACAGCGCTCTGCCATCGTGGGAAACATAGGAGCAGTACGTCGGATGACGCCGTGGCCGGTGGTAATGCAAACATGAGCGGCAACCATGTTGCAGTGGACATGCATGGGCAGAGTATGGCTGGTTCGCTAAGCCGAAAGACCATGAGCACGTTGCATCGGAGCCCGGTGCTTCCAGCTGCCCCCTAGCAATGCCCATGTGCATTTTGTCTGGGTTTGACACCATGTCGTCCAGCCCGATGGTTCTGCACGTCTTTCTAGGTGAGGCCGCCGCTTCCGAGCTGGTGCGGGACGCTGCGGTGCTCGCGCGCGCCGATGATGCAGCCGGCGCCGGCGCCCCACCACAAGCCCCGCCCGCCCCCAACCAGGAGCCCCCGACGTCGCCCTTTGCCCCGCCGTCCCCGCCGTGCATTGCGCAGGAACTTTGCTGGTTCACCCGGATGAGATCGACCTGACCGCTGTGTTTATACGTACTCACCGTAGACGGTTGTTCAAGGACCCTCTGTGTTCGCCAGCTGTGCCACGTGTTCCGTGTCCTGCCCAAGTTCCTACGTGGTCAGCTCCGCCAAGCGCTCCATTTCACCCACGCCCAAATCCGTGCTGCGACCAGCGCAACTGATGTTATAGCTGAACGCGCTTGGAAGCTTTTCCTGCTGCTCCCGAGGCTCCACCGCAGTGGGGGTGCCGCCCGTCGACGGCGCAGCTGCGGAACCATTGCCGGACCTAGTCAACCGGCGAGTGCACCTGGCCCTGCGCCACGGCGGACTGGGCTTTCGCCTTCGCCCGTTCGGGTCCACGTGAAACATTTTGTTTTTTCAACGCTCTTACTTCTGCCCACTTTGTGTCCGGTCAGTGGGTCCTATAGAGCCTTCGAGACTACGACAGGTGTGCCTGCGGTGGTTGGGGCCAGGGCTGCCCGAGGGCAGTGCTGGCAGCTGCTTGCTGCGCTGCGACAGACAGCATGCCCCACCAGCGACGCGTCCGGCCAGAAGACGCGGCGGCGCGCAGGGCCGGCACTCTGTAGGACCGCTTTCGGACCAGGTCTCGCACCAGTAGCTGCCCCTCCAGGAGCTTCTGCGGCTCTTGGCGCCTGAGCTCCGGGTAGGCGGCCGCCTTGCGTCGCTCCGCTGCCCGCAGGGCGGCGCCGTCGACGTCGGCCGTGCATGGTTGTGGTTGCCCCGTGCGCTCCCGTGCGTGTAAGTGGTGATAGCAGCATTGCATTGCAGCACAGCGCGGATCCGTCCGGCCGTAGATGACCACGTCTAAGCATTACAAGCGTCAGACTGTTCCTGCTGCTCCTGGACCACAATCCTATAAGGATGTGGGGAATGGGCGCGTGCTTGAGTGTTGGCACGATTCGGTCTATATCTTTGCAAAGCTTTGTACTGGCTTGCAGCGGGCGGCCAATTTGCGGTTTCAGCAATAATAAACCATGTATTCACCGCTGGAAAATGAGAGGCTGCAAAACTGCGGAGTCGATCATCCCCTTCGTTAGCGGGCGACCAGGTCGACGTTGCTTGCCAGTTACTTTCTGGACACCCTTTGACAACAGCCGCGGCCCAATTGCGAATTCGCAACGTTTGGAAGCCGAAGTTGTACTGACGTGAGACCAGGTGTCCACAGGGCCACAAGGTATATGTGTAACGCTGCAGTCGGTGTTTCATCCGACTCATAGTGCTGTGCCAATCTTCGTTTGCCACTCGCACCCAGCCAGCCGCAGAGCGAAACATTCGTCGTTGCAATGCGTCCAGTGCATGTTTTTATCCAAACGGAACGGTTGGAGCAAAAAAAATCGGTACGGTATCGAAAAAAATTCAATTTCAACGCGATGGACGCATGTTTGCTTGTAATAATATGACGGTGCTTGCGAACCGTTGCCCATCCGACTTGGAACCTATGTTTTGAGTTCTGTCTGTTTGCGGCATCGGGGATTTGCACTGATATGTCATCCCAAGTATTTGTGAACGTCGCCTCCAATCAACACCTCGATCATATGTTGTCGCTAACGTTGATGACGTGGGTCCGTCCATGTGGTCTGTAGCGGTTTGACGCCGCGCCCCCGCTCGCCAGTCGGCCGGGCGATGCCGACTCTCGGACAGACATATCTTCAGACGGAAACAGGAAGAGCACAAAAAAAAAAGACATGAGGAAAAACATCAAAGGGTGGCATGAACACGGTCGACCTCGTCATATATGGCGCGTCTCGGCGCGGCGAAGCAGACGGGCGCCCGCAACCGGCCTCTTCAGATCGGGATGGGGCTGCCATCGACGGCGCGAGGCGGCGCAAACAACGACGCTACCCTGAACTGGCCCTTGTTAAAATGGATTTGTCTCACTGCGTCTAGAAACCCTCGGTATAAAACTAAATTCCCCCTACAGAACCCCCCTCCCCAAAAAAAACCTGCCTAAACACCCTCCCATCACATGAACCTTTGCCTGCACCGTCTACCTTCGAGTCCAGCGCAAACACCTCCCATGCTCAATTTTTTTTTTTTTTTTTGAACGCACCTTTTTCCCAAGTCCATAGCGGTCGAACTCAGCCTACTACGGGTGGCACAGGGCGCAGTGAGCACACCAGGTAGCGGTGGGCAGGGAGCTAGGTGCTGCGGGCGGTGGCCCTGTCACGGCATGCGGCTGGCAAGGGGAGGAGGGGCCGAGCAGTCTGCCAAGACATCGCTGAGGAGTGGGATGTCTCCATCGACATTGCCAGTGTTCGCAAGAGGGAGTGCGAGGAGGCTGGCACAAAAGGCGCGCGTGGCTGCAAACGAGATGAGGGCAGACCACCGGAGCGCGTATGCGGAGGTGGCTGCGCTCCTGGCGGTTGCAGGCGCGGCCCGCGCCCTGCAGCGGGCGAGCTGGCGGACGAACCCCGCAGCCTCAGCACTCCAGCGGCCTCCGACCTCGAGAGCGAGCACGGTCAGGCGGGAGCGGGCCGATCGGCAGAGCTCCGGGTACGTCCGCTCCTTGGCCTGGCGAGCCAAGCGCAACGCGGCGCCAGTGGTGCAGCCGCGCGCGCGACGGGGGGCACCGGCAGCCGTCAGTGGAGAGACCAGAGTGGTGTCAACAGCCAACTGAACACCCCCCCCGAGCGGGAGTCCGTTGGCGATGACCTCAATGCGACGCTCATCTTGGCGCTCAGCGACAACATTGAGGTCACGCACACGAACATTGGTTGCGACTGTGGCCCCAGCTTCACGACAAACACGAGCTGCTGCACGCTCGAGCGGGCCCGCACGGGCACGGAGGACGCCAGAGCGGGGGCACGCCGCAATGTGGTCACCCAGGGCATCATGAGCAACCCGACAGCGGCACTGCGCGCCTGTGAGTGGGAGTGGCAGCCTCAGGCGACGGAGAACAAACACCCGGAAGAGGGGGAGTCGAGCGTCAACTCCGGGGATGTGGGGCGCGCTGTGAGTACCCTGGCAGCAAATGGGCCGGCCTGTGACTCCAGCAAGGCGATGGAGGACGGGTCGAGCTCACGCAGGAGTGCGCGGTGGCAGAAGTCATCTACGGCCCGGGCCGCCAGGCGCTGCCATCCACGAGTAAGGTCGAGCTGAGGTTCGTCCTCTGCGGAGGCGGGAGGGTCAGCATCCAGGAGCTGGGGCCAGGCCGGTGGCTCGTAACCAACTGCGGCGAGGGAGGCACGAGCGTCGCGGAGCGACTCCAGGGAAGCAGGCACTGACTCACCAGATTGCAGAGCCGCAACAAGAGTGGTAGCGAAATCGCGGTCCCGGTGAAGGACGGGACGGATCGCATCAGCCCAAGATGCCCAGTAGGCGGCGGGTGCGTGACGTGCAGCGCTGCGCAGTCCAAGCCCGCCATGCCGCAAAGGTAGCTGCGCGCGGGCGACGGCCAGGTCAGGCAGCCCGACTGCAGCGTCCGCCGACAGGATGGTGTCCAAGCAAGAGCTCACCATGGCGTCATGTCTTGCGGCGAAGGCGCGTGTGAGCGGCGGGGGAAGTGTGCGCAAAACATACTGTGCTCGGGGAGCGGCGCAGTGAGAGAGCAGGAGCCATGCGACCTGTGTGTCTTGGAGGCCTGGCAAGGCGTTGAGGAAGCCCGCGTGGCGCGCCAGGAGTGCACAAAGGTGAGCCGCAACAAACTCGGGAGTACCGATGGGGGCGCCAAGGGCGACAATACCGCGCTGGGCTGCGGGGAGCGCAGGGTTGCCTACCCAGACTTCGCCGCCCGGGGCGAGCTCAAGCACACCGGCAGGGGCAACCCCTGCAGCATTCCACAGCCGGGTTTTGGAGGGGTTCAGGCGAAGGTGTGCCCTGGCGAAGGCATAGTGCTCTTGGCGGTGGTACAGCTCGATCGCTCTGGCCGGCGATGCGAGGATGTATGCATCGTCAAGGTACGCGAGGGCGTGCTCCCCGGGTCGGAGATCAGCCTGCAGGTCTCTGAGCGCGGGGCCGAAGCCTAGGGAGAACATGGCTGGCATCAGAGGGTCGCCTTGTTCCCCACCTTCGGCCTGGGCAATTCGGTGGGACTGGGGGCCAGCTGTCCAAACATAGGCAGACTCGCGCGCGTACCAGAGCCGAGCGAAGGGGAAGAGAGGGGACAGACTCGGGGTGTCTCTGAGCGCCTCAAGCATGGACTGGCGACTGACCGTATCATATGCAGCACTCACATCGACTGACACCACAGTGAGTTGAGGATCGGCCTCACTGCGGGCCTGGAGAGAGTGGATGAGCGCCTCAGCTCCTGCCCGGGTGGATAGCGCATATTGGTGGGGGCTGCACGCGAGAGCAATCGGCTCGGAGAACTGTTGGGCAAGCGTGCGAGCAACCAGCCGCCGCAAGAGGTCGCCGATGACGAGTCCGCGGGTGCCCCCAGAGGGCTTGCGGATGGCAACCAAGCGGCCGAGCGCGACAGCCGCTGCAACGGGCTCGGGGAGATGCGCGCTAGCGAGCAACGAGCAAACATCAGCAAAACAGGCCGAGCACTCAGCGTCATCAAGGAGAACACGCAACATTTCAGCAGTGTAACCACTGGGGCCTGGTGCAGCTGCCTTGCGCGCACGCCGAAGGTTGGCCAACAGGGCCGAACGATCCAGCACTGCAGGGGACTCCGGCTGGAACTGCAGTAGATCCGGCGGCAAGGGCTGGTAAGGTTCAGGTGGCCGCCGGGCGGGGTCGATAAGGTGCTGGAGGGTGGCGTCGGTGGCGGGCGCCAAGGGCTCGGCCGTAAGCGCCTGTCGCGCAGCGGAGAGCTCCCCGAGATGTGCGAGCTGCACCGCGCGGTCAGCACGTTGTTGTGGCGTGGGGTCTGCATGCGGGTCCCGGGACGCGGATACCGAAGCCAGGCGCTGGGCGTCGCGCAGAAGTGGGGCCCACTCCCCCCGAAAGAAGGAAGTGAAGCGATCAAGCAACTGCGCCTTCGGGATTTTGGGGCACTGGCCGGGCCGAAATAAGAGCATCCTCGGGAGGAACAGCCACAGCTTCCACGCGCGCTGCACGGTGTCTGAGGCCAGCGTGTCAGGTGTGGGGGCGGGACCGGTGACCTCTCGAATGAGCCGGAGCGAGCAGTGAAGCGCCTGCCGAAGCTGTCCCTTGCAAAACGGGGGCGGGGTGCGGATGATGTGGCATGGGAGCTCCAGAACCGCCTCAGCCGGGAAAGGGTCGAGACTGGCCAGGGCGGCCTGGAGCCGGGCACCATGCAGGGCATCAGAAAAGGCAGTGGGGTGGGCAGGGGTCGGGGCAGGCGGTTGCGGTAGGGAGCTGGGCGGGGCAGGCGCTACCTCTTGGGCGTCCCTGGAAGAGCTGGACGAACTAGAGGAGCTGGAGGAGTCAGAGCTGCTGTCACGTGGCTGGTCGGGTCCAGCAGCGACGGGGGCTGGGGCGAACGGCGCCTCAATGCCACGCAGTAGGGAGGAAGCGGCTTCGGCCCCCAGGAAACATTGCAGGAGAGCCTCCTGCGCTGACGCCGGGATGTACCCTCCTGGCAGGGTGAGGCGCTGCCACGCCCACACGAAATGCACAACTGTTGAGGATGGTAGGCGAGCGGCTTCCTGCGCCAGGGACTGTGAGAGGTTCGCCTCGGCAGGGGGTGGGGCCCGCCCGTCGGCAGTGGCACACTGCTGCAGGGCATCCAACGCACGGACAAGGGAGTCTGGCTGGACAGGGCCTGCGTGCTGCAGCCGGTGAAGGGCTTGGTGCCAAACCCGACCAAAACGTTCGCTCGTGGCCCACGACCGCTCAGCACCAGGTTCAAGGCGGCGCGCCGCAGCATGAAGCAAAGGAACGAAGAACCAACTGTGCGTGGGGGGCAGAGAAGTGTCTAAGGGGGGCGGTCCCTGGTGGAACCACACCTCTAGTGCTTGCGGTGGTGCCGCAAGATTAACGGTTTGATCTGGAACTGCTGGTGGCGGCAAAGGGATGCGGGCGGTCTCACACGGCAACACTTGCAGGGGGCGACCTCGGCAGCATGCCCAACCACGACTGCCCTCGCGGAGGTCAACAGCTAGCGTGCGCTGACCGTGGATGGGGCACACTGGTGGGTGCGAGATCCCTTGGCACAGAGGATGGCTTTCGTCAAAAGAAGAATTGCACCTCATACATAGCCATTCCGCCGTCCAAGACCCAGTGGCACGGTTGAGGGTGGGAGCCCACTCCATATTGCGATCAGGCAGCTCCTCCCACGCCGAATCATGTGAAGCCCGATCCGGGCGAGCAAGCATCAGGCGGGGACAACACAAAGGGAGGACATGCTGGGGCGGTGGAGGCGCTGTGGCAGCGCGGTGCTCCGCAGATGTGGTGTCGTGCTCAGGAGCCGGGGGCGGCGGCGTGACACCTTGTCGCTGACACTCAGCAAGGAAGGCCGGGATGGCTTGCGGGTCCCAAGCCGCGCGGCACGCAGGGCAGTGAAGCCCGCTGACGTTGGTGACGAGGTGCGCCAGGCAACCCAAGTGCAGTTGGTGGTGACAGCGGGGCCAATCGAAAAGCGACTCCGGTCCGCCTGCCTCAGGGGACATGTCACACAAGCACACGGGGCAGGCATCGGCAGAGGGCCGATCTGGCGGGGAGGGCGCCTGCGCACCCAGCAGCCAGGGCGGCGTAGTGGGTGCCGGGCCGGTTTCACCTGTGGGGCAAGGGGGCGGGCTGTCAGCCATGCCACCGTTGACACGTGTGGCCCATGGGGGGCCGGGGGGGGCGGTGCGGGGAGGCGTGGAAAGCCGGCTGAGCAGAGCCGGACAGTCTGGACTTCGGGGTACTGGATGCTCTCACGGCAGAGCCAGACAGTCCCGAAGCAGGTACCGGATGCTCACCGCAACGGTTTTATTTATGCTGGGGTACCGTACCCAGTAGTGCAGAATGGCCGGGAAGGCTAGGGGGTCTCAAAACGGGCCCAAGCAGCCGTGTGGGGCGACGAAAAGACTAGGGGCCCATGAGAACCTTGCATCTTGAGCCCAAAAAAAAAAAAAACTGGCCGGCCCGGGCCCGGGGGATGGCAGCGTGCCGCCTGCCTGGACAGGACAGCCTGCGAGAGCCTTTTGAATGACCTTGATCCGGCTTCTCGCCCGGGGCGGCGGCTTCCGACGCTGCGCGGCGGAAGCGCCAGGACACGTACCCGGAGCTCCGGGCAGCTCGCCGTTGCAGGTTGGTAGTCATCGGGCGAGAGAATGGACACAGAGACCGTCACCTTCTTGCGCCAACTCGCCGCGGCACGGGCACGCGAGGCACCCGCGCGTCTGAGGCCTGCCGCATGCCGGGCCAGCATCCACAGATGGACTGGCATGCTGGCGGCCCAGCGTGCGTATGCCATGTCGCTGCTTGAGTTGCCGCTGGCGGGGGTGGAGCATGGTGACGGCGACCCGCCGCCGTGGGGGGATCTGCTGGCGGACGCACGCGGGGTGGAGCCCATCCCCGACAGTAGGCTGCGCTGAGAGGCGGACCCCCGGCACTTCTTGCGGGCTGAGAATGGTGCGAAGAAAAAAAAGTTGTTTCCGTCGCAGTCCAACAGGCCGTTGCGGGCGTGGCCCTAGATCGCGCCCTGCCGCAAGCTGGACCGCGAGCAGGCTCGGCCTGGACAGGGTCAGCCGTAAGCAGCGGTGTGTAAGAACATGTGGCGCGGACACCAAAGGCAGCAGGAAAAAACTGCGAGAAAAAACGAATTTGCTGCGTAGTGATGTACTGGACCACGTCGGGACGAGTTTGCGGGGGGGAAAAATTTTTTGCATCGATCGCCACGCTCATCGGTCAGACGCTCGAGGATGCTACGTTTCCGTGCTGTGACACGTTCACGCGTCTTTCCTGTTTGATGCGCTGTGCGCTCCTGCATGGCTGCCGCCCCAACTGCCGTGCGAGCTCACATGGGTGCTCGTCGGACTGGGGACCGGTCCGACCGGGGACCGGTCCCCAGGGCTGGGCCACCCCCTGGGGGCCCAGCAGCTAGCCAAACGAAAGGCAAAGGAAACCCACAGCAGGGTCACGCACCCAGTCTTAGCTGCGGCTCCTCTCCCGCTGCATTTGCTGACGTGCACGGCCACCCACCTGCGCGCCAACAGCACCGCAGCGTGGCTCAAGTGCTGCAAGTGCCTTCGCTGCGGGAGCCTCGGCCTGCGCAGTGCCGCGGCGCATGCCCCTGCTGCCGACTTTGTTTCATGGGCCGACTCGCTTCGCACCATCAAGGCCCGCGAAAGCGCCTTTGGCGACGACAGTTTGCATTTCCTCGCAGGTCCTGCATGCAACCTCCACTGCCTCCCAACGTCCCAGAGCTGCCCCTTTGTCCTCACCAGCCACGGCCTGACCAGAGACTGAAGCCGATCCCGCACTCCACGAACCGGCTGACTCGCGTGCGGCTGGCAGCGAACAGCTTCCACAAGACGGTTGACGATGCCCTCCTTGCGGCCCCCGCCTCCACGATTGACGAGGCCTTCGCTGCCCTGCGACACTCCCAGGCTGGTCCTTTTGCAGGTCGTGTCTATACCGCCCTCCCCACATGCCCGGAGCTTCGCCTTCATTCGCCGGCCTACCGCGCTCAGAGTGTGCCAACATGGTGCCAACATGGTGCCGGACTCCATGTATCTTGGAGCATCCTGCGGTCAGGAGGTCGCGTTTTTTTGTGGTCTTTGGCATCGAAATCCTGGCGAATGAGCTGAATGTCGCATATCGCGCTGCCACATGGTAAAGCCCAGCCCGCAACTGGCACCAGAGTCTTGAACAGATGTTGAACCGCTACATGACGGCTCGGACTTCCTGCGCCTGAAGCACATGCTGGACGTTTTGTGCTATGTATGAAGTCACAGAGCCGCCAGCGATGTGTCAGCATTCAGCTACTGTACGGTAACCAAGTCGGTTTTGGCGCTGCCGACCGTCTGATTCAGTAGACTCAGTAGACGGCTTCCATGGGTTCGGGCGCATCACTGGATGTTTCGTCCAGCGAAGGCATCCATGTTCCGGTGTCGACAGAGAAGATGGTCCTGGAGAAGCAGCACATGGACGACGCAGATGCCTTTTTCAGTGCGGCGGCTACGTTCAATGAGGACGAGAAGCGGCTTTTCTCTCGAATGGTCGGCTACGTGGCGAAGACTTGCTTAGGAGGCATCGAGTACAGCATGCCCCTTCGGTGCCTACAAGCGGTTGATGCACTAGAAGCTCCAGAATCTCGCGTTGCCCTGTGTCTTCATGGCTTTGGCGATGATCGTTGCATGGCCTTGTGGAGCCACTTCTGGTTGCCCATGACACAGGAAGGATTCCATGTTGTGGCTTTGGATCTCCCAGGCTTTGGCCGTGCAAGTGGAAAACCCGGCAGCACCAAAGACTGGTCTTCTCTGGACGGAGAGCTACTACTACGTCTCATGGAATGCCTCAGGATACCTTCCGGCTGTGCTTCGGTTTTTGCAGAGGGCATTGGCGCCTGTGCTTTTCTACGCGCGTATGCGCAAGACCCTACTCCATTTGCAGCGCATCATGTGCTCTTGAATGTTCAGATCGGAGAAGTCCCTAAGGGACTTCGGGAAAACCTCGAATCACGAGGAGCTGACATCATGCTTTGTGGCTGTGAGAAATTTTATCCAGCTCAACCTCCCTGGATGCTTTCTGGTCTGAATCAACTTTCGGCGTTGCTCCTGGATCCAAGCACTATGGGTTTGTTGGGCACGTTTGTTCTTTGGAAAGTGAAAGACGCAGATGGTCCAACTCCCATCCGGAGTATGAAGGATGGAACGTGGTGGACCGGCAGCTTGGAGAAAACTGCCTTGGCGCACGCTGGGCATGCCTTGGTTTTTCGAGCTTCACCGGATTGCTTTCAAGAGCTCTTTCAGTATGTAAGGGCCCCCCCCCGGAAAGTGGCTGTGAAGACATCCCCGCTGGGGCCGGAGATGACTTCGATCGAAATGGGCGAAATCAACGACACGTTTTCAGTTTTCATTCGGATCAGGCCGCTTTTGGAAAGAGAACTGAAAGTCAGGTCTGAGAATTGCTTGGCCGTCTCGGACACAGACTTTCCTCGCGACCCTCCCCCACAGCGGATCTTGGTGCAAAGCGGCGATTCCAGTTTGAAGGGCAGTTATGTGTTCAATCGTGTGTTCGAGCAGTCTATGAGCCAGGAAGCTGTGTACAATTCCACTGCGAAGCCTTTTGTGCAAGATTTCTTGGCAGGGACAAATGTCACAATTTTTGCGTATGGACAAACGGGCACCGGAAAAACCTACACAATCTTCGGCCCCCCTGAGGATCCTGGGATCGTTACCAGGAGCCTCTCAGACATCTTTGAGAAGTTGCCAGCAGACAAAGACTTGCATTATGAGTACGTGCAGCTTTATTTGGATGATTTTAAGGACCTGTTGGCAGATGCTGCAGGGCTCGGGAAACTCGTGGAGGGCAAGGCTGGAGTTGAGCTAGTTGGTCTTTCAAGCCAGAAAGCCACGTCGGCGAGTGAGATTCTCCAAGCTGTGGCCAAAGGAGCAACACGACGTGCTACAAGAGCACAGGATATGAATGAAGTCTCCAGCCGTAGCCATGCCATTTTGATGTTGCGACTGAAACATGCCAACAGTGTTGACATTTTCTCATCCATGTTCATTGTTGACTTGGCTGGCAGCGAGCGTGTAGCAAGGAGTGGAGTCACTGGTGATGGCTTTGCAGAGGCAACCAACGTGAATTTGTCTTTGACTGCCTTGGGACGAGTGGTAATGTCTCTGATTGAAGCCGACATCAATCAGACCAAGGGTTTCATTCCCTATAATGCTTCTCCTTTGACTATGCTGCTGAAAGCAGGGCTGGGTGGCGACAGCAAGACTGCCCTCATTGCATGCGTGACTCAAGCAGCAGACTCCCTCAGCGAGAGCGTCAGCACTCTTCGCTTCGCTATGCAGGCGTCGCATGTCAAGAACAAGGTGGAACAGAAGCAGGCGCAGGACCAAGCAGATCAGGAGAAAGCGAAGATTGCCGAAGCGGCAAATGAACTGCGCCTCTCTGGTGGCAAAGGAACTGTGGCTTTGACAGCGGGTGACATCGAAGTTTGGGGCACCTGGCAGTCAGCAGCTGAAGAAACCGTGATTCTTCTGGGCGGTTTGGGCAGCGAACTGGAAGAGCTGGAAGGCCTCATTGCCGCATTGAGGGACGTCAACCATCAGGTATTGGCGCCTAAACTGCTTGGAACTGCTGAGAAACATTTAGACTCTGATGTCGCGATTTTGTTGGAGCTCTGCGATTGGCTTGGCTTGGCCAAGCCTGTGTTCTACGGCCGAGACTGGGGGGCAGTGCGTGCGGTGCGGTACAAAATGGTCCATCCAAAGCGAGCGGGCAACTTGGTATTGGAAAACAGGTTGAACAAGATGGATGAAGCTCAGTACAAAGCCAAGGTCAAGAAAGATCCCAATTTTTCACTGCAAGAGTACATGGGGCCCTGGCTGTGGTTTTTCGACGGGACGTTTCCGAAGAGCTTCGATGGCTCGGGATTTGGCAAAAATGTGAAAGGCTTCAAAGGCAAAGTGCTTTTTCTTTGGCCTTATCACACCAAGGGCAGACACGATCCACCAAAGAAGGTTACGGCTTGCAGCAAGTTTGCAGATGCATACGCGAAAGCTGTGAAGACCAAGCCGGTAGATTCGTATCTGATGACAGATGCAGACGTCGCTGCTCGGATTGTAGGATTTGCTGAGTGAGAGAAGACGGAATCATGCAAAAGCAGCCAAAGAAAAGGTGGTTCAGAATCACGGAGCATGTTTCCTATACATCATCTGCATTTTTGTCACTGGTTGTCTGTTTTTCTCGGCGCTGCATTGCCGATTGGCTGTCGGTGCGGTGACTCCGAACCTTTGCTTCCAATGTTCACTCTTTTGCCATACGAAGCATGCGGGGGCTCCAGGGTCTGTGCCACTTTGGAGTCGTGAATTGAGATCAGTTTCCGACATGACAAGCTGAGGTGTCCGTGCTTTGCTGCCTCCTAGTTTCTACGTCCAGGGGGAACAGGGTTGGCTGATGACCTGAGAGCCTTGCGCAGTGCATATGCCGGTTCAAGTCAAGCAGCTGCCCCATGTACGGCGTGTACAAGCCACCGGCACAGATGGTCGCGGGGAAAATTGAAGTTCAAATTGTGGTCCGGGAGGGTATGTTGCACTAGTGAGTAGTGGCATCCTGCCACCACAGCTAACAAGGTAGTTTGTCCAGATGCACCAAGAACATGCTTCTAAGGCAGCAGTGATGTAATAGTGCCCCGACATGACAAGACATCTTTTGTTGGTTGAGGCGAGTTAAGATACCAAGCACCAGGCACTGAAGGCGAAATGTTGGCACCGAGGGGTCTACCAAAAAGCCCTCTTCTTTCCTGCCTCGCCAGCTTCTAAGAACCGGCAAGCTGAGCTGAAGGAACTGTTTTCACGTCGTTTCCCCCCCCCATTTGCTACGGAAACACCAGCGATGGCGCAATCAAGGACGCCAGCAGCTGACAATGTTGTCACAAAAAGATGTCGTAAACAATGCGTTTCAAGAAGTCATACAAAAACCATGTGAGTGACAAAGAGAGGTTTTTGCATGCGGTGTTCACATGTGTATGATGCGATGGTATTGCGGAGTGGTTCACTAGCTCGTTCGATTGTTTGCGCCTTCCCTGTAGCCATCCGACGTCGGGCTCACGTGCATGTCCAGTGCGGGTGCATGGATTGTATGATGCGCATGAGCATGAGTACTTGAGTATAGGTAACACAATCATCCGCGCTTTTCGGCATGGGTTCCAGCAGACAACTGCAAGTGAATGCCAGTAAGAGACAAAAAAACAATATAGCCTGCCGTTTTTAAAGGTGTTGCCTCGATGGTTAACTGTTTTGGGCCACATTGAGAGGCTGCATGGCTTGTGCATTTCTTACAGGACATTCGCTTTTGGAAGAAGTGGTGTCTTGTGTGCATTACCGCTTCCTGCTTTGCCTGGACGAAGCCGCGCTGAGCACTGTGGGATCATGTTGTCGATGGTTGCGGGATACATCGGCAGAAGAGAGGTTATGGCAACGGCTGGCAATATCCCAAAATCGGCTTGCTGCAGCACGGTTTTTGGGGGCCTTCAGCCCTGAAGCTCGCGAAGTTGCGACGGATGATGTCCGACCTGGCATGGCGGTCCGCCGATTCACGCCAGGTACATCAACGCCGGAGCCAGAATTGGTCAACTGGCGGGACATGTGTCGTCAACTGAACATGTCCATGGCCGAAACGCCATGGGAACAGGAATCGCACGAAGATGCTTGCAGCGCAGCTTTGTGGACCGAGCTGTCCGATGACGCACCATCACCATCCATGGCTTCACCCACCACAACTGCATCCAACAACGTCATGTTGGCATCGCAGTCGCCACTCTTGTTCTGGATAGGTGGTGATCGGATGATGGGACTTTCTGGCGGCTATTCGCCTGACGTAGTCGGCGGTGCTTCAATTCACCCTTTGCGGGAGGTATATTTGCTGGAATTACCTGATGTATCTGGTCGTGGAAATCGGCCGACGCGGCCCGACCTTTTAGTGCAAAAGTTGGATTGTGGGACAGCCCAAGGCAGGCTCCCCCATGGCCACCCATCTATGAATGGAGTAGCGGCTGATTTCGATCCACATCGACGGACAATTTTCTTCTTTGGAGGGGGAGCTCCCCATGCAGATGTCACCAATGTAACATCCGCGTTGCGATTGGACGGTTGGGACAGTGATGATTCCGAAAGGCCAAGGGCAGCTTGGCAACTTATCGCTTCGCCTGGATCAGTGGAATCCGGTCAAATTCCAAGCGCCCGCCAGGGCTTGAAAGGAACGGTTTTCAACGACGAGTTCGTCATATTTGGAGGTCGTTTCGCAGGTGGACGGTGTACAAACGAAGTTTGGTCGCTGGACCTTACATCCGACCCAGGCCCAGAAGTGGACCTTAGTGGACCTGACCTATATAAATTGCACCTCTGTTATTGAAGTAGTGCATAGTGGTTGTCAAGCCGGCAGGGGCCAACGGCTCAGCAATGTTGGCATGGAGGCTGGCATTCCAAGTGCATCCAAGTGTCGATGTTCCACTAAGAACCTCGCGAACCTTCTGGTTGACAGGCAGCTGGAATGCGACGGTCAGAGTCCTTCTCCTCGAGTTTGGCATGGAGCTTGTCAGCTGGTCCATGGTCAATGGTGGCTTGGTTGCAAAGAACAGCAAAGTTCCTCAGACATCAGACAGGTTTCGCCGTTGTTTTGTGCTCAGGTTCATCTATGGTGGAAGCACCTGGCAGTTTGAGGCTGCTGACTGCTGACTGTAGTGACTGTAGATTTTTTTTCGGCAATTACCATTGTCGCGAAAAGCCCCGCAGGAACCAGATCAGCCGCACGACTTCCGGACCCTTTTCGATCGGGCCTTATAGCGAAATGGTGTGCACACGAAACGTGAGATGCGAACGTGCTGAGATCTTGCACCTGGCAGAGAGGCCCGGCTTTCGGAGTTCTTTTGGCGAACCCGTTCTTCCTTTATAATGCAAATGATTCTTTCAGCCATTCGCTTGCAAGGCGCTGGTCTTCAGTGCGTGCTTCCGGTCCTGAACCGCCTTGGGCCGTTTCTGCCGCCCTGGTTCCGTGCAGATCCTAGCATCAACACGGCATCCTCCGATGACATTAGATCGCACCGAGTCCTGGAAGTTGACTGCAGGCTTGGCTGCTGCCAGCTCTTGTTATTGGGCGGGACCTTGCCACATATGCTTCACGCTGAGAGCTGCAGATCGAGTGTTCATGTTTTTCCACACGGACTGTGTCCCTGATGCTCGAAAATTTGGTTCGTTGTGAAACGCGAAAGCGGAAAGGCCAGGGGTGCCAGCTGTCTTCGGTTTTGGATGGTATTGGTGTTTTTGCTTCTCAAGTGTGAGAACCTTCTCAGTGTTTCTGGCATCTTGTCGATGCGTTTTCCCGGCACCTCGTAGCATTGCAACATCTCGCATCTCCAAGTCGTCGTGTCGTAGAATGTCGCAGATGCCCTGCAACTGTGTGTGGCAATCCGAGGCAATCTTCTAAGCCTGTCTATAACTCCAGTAATCAGCGGTGTTTTGTGGATGACGCGGTCTTGGGATTATCCTCGTTTTCCATTCTCTCGGTTTTGGATTCTTGCATCCTTCTCAATGTCCCCGGCTTGGCGGAATGCAGTCACCATCCTGGAGGAAACACTTTTCGTTCTGGGATTTTCATCTCTCGCAAGCGAGTGGCAATGTGTCGTCATCATAATCCTCGCAAGAGTCGTTGTTTTCCTCGTTTTGGACCTTGGCATCGTTGTGTGTAAAAACTTAAGATTAGCAGTCGCAGGGGTGGGTGGGTGGTGGGTGGGTGGGTGGGTGGTGGTGGGTTTGTTGTCGAACAGTCGTCGTTGCTGGACTTTTGCCTACCTTCGATGTCGATTCGTCGTGTATCCTGTCGGTGACCAGGTTGGGGAGCCAGGGCCTGAATGCCCACAGCTTGCGCCAGTGGCGCACTTGGTCCGCAACCTGGGTTGAGGAATGTTCTTGCTCCGGCCTGAAGACGTTCTAGCGAGCATTCAGCGCGTCTGAGGTACAACCGTCTAGATGAGCCCTATGCAAGGGACTCATGCGGTGCAAGGCTAGTTGCAATGACCACTGCGGTTTGTGGCGGGGCTGTTTGGAAGGAATAGGTGATGACATGTCGAGGTGCGAGTTCATGTCTGTGATCGGAAGTCGGGCTAATGCAAGCGGTGATGTGGCACGTAGACCCCCTCCAGAACAGCTGCACACCCTCCTATGGCTCGAACTGCCAGTGACTGCTAGTCAGTGCTGTTTCTTCCATTCCGAAACGTTTTGTTTGGGAATGGAGCAACAGGGAATCCCTCTTTTCAGTGGCGTGGGTTTGGCTGGTGTCTAACACGACGGCTAGGCCCGGTGCTCGCCTTTGCTTGTTGTTTGTTTCCTCGTAGCGAAGCAGAAGCATAAGGTCTTCGACCTCCGCGCAAAGACGTGGAGCCAACGTTATGCTGCTATTGCGGGAACTGCTTGCGCCCTGGTCCGTGTCTGATGTCTTGTCCGTTCTCAGCATGGGCGCAGCATTCCTTGGAGTGAACTTAGTCCCAAGACCGGGAACAGCATGTGGCAGAGGCACGTGATTTGAAGTGTGAGATGTCGTGGGCATCTCTCTCTCCCCTCTCTCTCTCTTCCTCTCTCTCTCTCTCTCTCTCTCTCTCTCCTTCTCTCTCTCGTGCATGACCAAGAAGTGTTGAAAGTGAATGGCCGTCATCCAGGTGTACCTGCGCAGCCATTTTTCTGCATGCTTCGTTCCACATCGCCGTGGCCAGCTTTGTTGCAGGGTTTTTGCTGACAGCTCAACACGGGATCAGCTTGCTTTGCAATGTGTGCCTAGGCTCTGTGATCGTGTTCGGTGGCTCTCGCTACTTCACAGGCTATGGGCGCACCACCACAGCCTTCTTGGTTAATGTCATGAGTTCATCTCGCAAGGCGAGTACTTCAACGACCTGCTAGAACTGCAGCTTCCGTCATGCAGACACAGGCCCCTGCTAAGTGTGTCACCCACGCATGCACATATCCACATGTCCACATGCCCAGGCAACGATCAGCAGTGCTAGGCGAAGGTCGGCGGCAGGCAGCGCAACGGGTTACAGTAGGCCTACTAAGTGCCTACTATCTCTTGACGAGTGCGGACGTGCTCCAGTTGATGGGCTTTCAGGAGTCGCGGCATCCTTTGTGTGGGCCGTTTCAGGCCGAGCACACGTAGTTTATCGGCCATCGCTTCTGTTTCGGGTGGCTTTTTGTCCAGGCGCCAGCCGCGCTTCCGCGGCACCTGCAAGTCGCCGACGGTCGTGAGGCGAAGCATTCTTCAGAATGCGATGGTCAGCACAGTGTGTGCGCAGAGTTTTGTATCTTCGGGGTTCTTCGAGGCCAGCTTGACACGTGGCTTCCTCGGGCGGCTTCGCGGAATGCTTCAAGATGGCATTATCAACCAGGCCGCATCATGATGTGAGCATGTTGGCTCCGAGTTGGCTGACCGCTTGCCAGGAGCAGTTTGACATGATGCGCTCCCCAACGTGAATGGCTGCGCAGAGTGTTTCACCTGTTCAGGCATGCCCAGGCCGCACCGGGCTCCGAGTCTCACAAAGTTCATCGATTTCACATCGCGCGATGTTTCCGAGCAGCGTGCCACGCCACCCGCATGGCATAAAGATACTGACGCTTGGAATTTTTCGATTGTGTGCAGAAGCTCTTTCAGCATAGAAGCCTAGAAAGCCTCGGATTCCGCAGAGTCCTGCGCAGTGTTTTCGGGTCCCAGCACTGCCTTGCAGCTTCAGCCCACGCACCGCCCTGGACCTGCGGTTCACGCCGCTTTCTTGCAACGAGGAAGCCCAAACTGCCCTACTGATGTGCCCTCGCTCGGAGGCCATGACCGACAAGAAGAAGCTGACTCAGGCCGAGCTGCTCGAACTTCTGAGCCCGCCTCCTTTCAACCAGAAGCCCATCTCTCAGAAGCTTCTATGGGAGATGTTTCTTAGCAGGTGTTAGGGCCGTTAGTGACCGTTAGACCGTTAGTACTATGTTGCACTGTGGAACCGAGGAAGTGTGTGCCACCGGATGCTGTCATCCAGACTTCCCCAGAGGAGCGTTGGTGGAGGCAGCCACAGGGGGGTTCTCTTGGACCATCGCCAGCTTCAAAAACGCAAAAGAGGTCGGATTCACCGCGCCTTCCTGGCGACGAGTTCCCAGATGTTCCTGTTCAGAAAGCGTCCGAAGCTTGTGGAGATGCTGGTGCATGCGCCGAATGACTTTCACTGGAGTAGTCAGGTCGGACCCCTCGCTGTCTGGGACTGCCGGATCCAAGGCCTGACAGAAAATTCAGTTGCGTACCATTTGCCCTGCCTCAACAAACTGTCATACTGTCAGGGTCACGGGCTACGCTCTGGACCCGTCTGCTTCCAAACGACTTCGCAGACAGGATGTGGCACTGCTGCGCATTTCAAGATGGAGGACATCGGATTAGAAGATATGAGAAGACGGAGTTCTTCTGCTCTGTCAAACTCACAGATTGGTTGTTCAGGAAGGTGTGCCTCCGGTGATTTCTGGCTTCAGCCACGGGCTTAGTATGGCTCAGTAATGCTTAGTATGATTTCAAGGGATGGAAGGGCCAAGGGCAGACTTGGCTGAGGTGGCCACTTCCCCGGCAAGCAGGGTGCCAATATCATTGGCGCCACCTTTGACAAGCTGCTGACCCAGCTGTGGTTGCAGGGAGTGCGTTTGCTGAGATGAGCCGCAGGCTTCTTCTGTTGCAGGTCCTACACGGAGTCGTTGTCGCACACCATCTCGCTCGGGAAGTGAGGCTCTTTGGGACGCACTGCTTGCCGTCCATTGGTCTTCCTTCACAGGGCCACCTGCATATGTTCACAGGGCACCCGCGCTACATTCTCACCATTTGTCACCAGAGTCTTCAGGGCAGAGTGGGACGGGTGGCCATGCATGGGGAAGACTTCTACATTGCGTTTCACCCCAAGGCCTCGGTGCGCTTAAGCATCAATCTAGAATCTAGAGCTGTCTATATGCTGCTATGCTGCTTTCGTATTCCTACATATGTGTTGGACTTTTGGACCTCGAAAGAGTTCATGTCTGGTGCCAAGCTGACGGGAGACTCCTCTTCTCAAGATGAGGGGCCGTCGAATTGAAAGAAAGCTAGAGAGGCCACTTCTCAGCTCTCTCGATCCTGCTGCGGCAGGTTGCCTCAAGTTTTCTGGGGCGCCTGTTGGGCGGGTCCTGGGAGCTTTTTGGATCCTTGGATCTGTATCTGACTGTTGTGTGATTTGTGTGCATGATCGGGTAAAGTCTGCCCGCAGTCCCAGCATCACACTGCAGCAACGCCTGCCACAAGGCAAGAAGCACCAAAATCAAAGCGTCCTTCCGTTGTAAGCTCTGTGGAAAGGGACGCAGTGGCCCTTGTCGATCCTTGCCACTTGCCACGCAGTGGTCACGTGTGGATGTGCGGCGCTCCGACTGGCTTCTGCATAAACGAAAGCAGTGTACATAGCGGTGACTAAGTAGCACTCCCTTTTGCAAAGGGGGGGTACCTTGGGCTGGTGCAAGATGCGCCGGCCACGTCAGATGTAGGGCCAGATCCCTCGCCATGACGCCATGACGCCTGCCAGGAGGAGTAGCTGAGTAGCAACTGCAGCTTGTAAGCTTTCAGCCGACGCACTCTTACTGCACATTCCTGAGACCTTGTGCAGGACGTCGGGTGATGGCGGATCTGCGAGCCCAAAGCGAAAGGTTCATGAGCCCCTCGAGTGCAAGACCGTTCCTGGCACGTTCGCGGCTGTGCCCGAGTCTTCCCTGCTGTTACTGTTGCCCAGGTCAAAAACCGAGTATGGACGAGATCCAGCGAAAGCAATGGACCACTTACGGCAGTTCCTCATATCTACCACAGGTGCGCTGGGTTTTCCTCGCGACAATTCTTGCTCAGAAAGCATTGCTAAGGTTCAGTCTTGCGTGCATGGGTTGAGTTCCTGGACCAGAACAACGACGCGGCCCCAGTGGATTTGGCATGGTTGGTGTTGACCTGACTGACGGCCGCAAGGATCAGAAGATCTCAATGACGGAGTTCAGCAAAGGCTCGGGTATGAGCGGTTACAGATGCGAAGAGTCCCCCTGTTGCTAGACTAGGTATGCGGAGTTTGGGATACATGGGTGATGTTTTCCGACTGTTCAACATCCTGGATGGTGCCATGCCCTGAGCAGTCGCGGTGTCGTGTAGCTGCGATTCGTTATGGGCAGCTGCATCACTCAGGACGAGTCCGAAGAATTAACACTCGCCAGTGCCTCATGCAGTGTGCATGTGACAGGGCGTGCGAAGTCTGTTGAGCATGTGTTGTATTTTCTTGCTGCCCATGCAGGACGAGATCGACATGAAACAAGCGACATTGTGGAGAAACTTCCGGATGTTTGCTGCAGCTTCTTTCAAAAGCGCAGAGGACTTTTGTGGGATTTTTTTTGCCCATAGCGTCTTGCTTGCGAAAGCAGATTTGAGATCTGCCATAGCCAGGAGTTGATTCAGCATCTCGGCTGCAAAGTGTGTTCTTGAAGCCTACTGCCATCTTGGTTTTGCAGAGGAAGTGTGCTGACTGGGCTGCCGACATCACACCAGAGATGGCGAGTGTCCACAAGGACAGGCCCAAGGCCGGCCCTCATTGTGCCCAAGTTGTGCCCAATGAGCGTGCTCCAGAGAGACACTTTCGACTCCAGGCGTACTATCTCACACGTGATGAGTTCTGCCTGGGGCTTTGTGGAAGATTGGGGGAGAGAAGGGGGAGAGAAGGAGAGAGAAGCAGAGGGAGGCGATGCAACCCAGAAGTACTGGGAACTAAGTGGTGCATTGATAATGCTCAATGCTGGCTCAGTCTTGTGCTTCACGCCGTCGACCGGGTTTCGGCCCCAAACCCAAGCCCGGAGAGAAGAATAAGAAGAAGACCAAGACACAGAGAGAGAGAGAGAGAGAGGTTGGGTAAGTCTGACCTTCGGACTTCGCGCGCCCCTTGGGGCAGCCTTCCCTTCGGGGGGGGCTAAGCATGCAGGAGAGAGGGAGAGAGAGGTTGGGTAAGTGCCCGCCCCTGGCCCCAGAAGGAAAGCAGACCATGACACCAAACACGAGCAGCACAGTGCGGGCTTCTTGCCCCAGGCACTGGCATTCGGAAATGTGGCTGGAACTACAGTGTTGCTGATCTCAACTGGGCCCTCTGCTTAACACTGGGCGAACAGTGCGTGTGAAGACACGACCTGAGTTGCAAGAGTTGGCACACGCTGGTACTTGATGTCTCATAGGTTTTGCTACCCAGTAGCCAGGTCTATGATGCCCTCGAAGACAAGGGCGACCACCTGCTGAGAGCCAGCAACCTGGGCATTAGGCTCAGGCATGCAACTTGCCATACCTCGCGGTAGTTGTAGCATGGTGTGTCGCAGTTGTTATGGTGATTTATGGTGGCTGTAGTGCAACATGCTTTCCGGATCCAGGTTGGCTAGCGACAGAACTCACAAGAAGGCAGAAGAAGCAAGAGGCCAAGATCAAGTCCAAGAAGTGGCAGGCCAGGAGTGCCAGGAGTGCCAGGAGCCAGTCTCCCAACAGTGTTGTCAGAATATGTCAGAATCATATCCTGGAGTTTTCACAAGCTGTTACAGGCACTCAGGATTCGTCAAGAGGCGTCGCCACAAGACAAACACCGTCATTTCAAAACTTTCAAGGCCGCTCTGTATGCTCAGCACGGCCACCAATTAGGGACAGGCCGAGTTGTAAGCAGGCCTTCCTTCGCAAGAAGCACGGCAATCTGATCCGTGGCTGGCGACAAGCTCTCTCTCAAACTGACTCCATGGTGCTGTGCCTCAGAGAAGTTGAAACATGGCTCGAACCTATTAACTAACATTGGCGAGCTACTTCAGAATGAGGTGCTTTCCAGGCTGCACTTTATGAAGGTGCCAAGTTGCCGCCCTGTAAGTTGCCTTGTTCATGAATTCTCAAACTCATGCTTTGTTAATTGAATGCGCGCTTTGGACAAGTGTTCTTTGCCTTGCAGGCTGCGGCTCGCCTTGGCTTTGCCAAAGAATCCAGAGATCTTTGGAAGTCGCTGGATAAGGACGACAGTGGCTCCGCCTCCATAGATGAGCTCGACCCAAGAAGTGCTGAAGGATTGGCCCACTTTAAGGCACCGTTGCATTGCTTTTTTTGCTCCACTCGTCGTCCGGCAAAGCTAATTTCATTGTTGCCCACTTTCGCCCTACTTGCCCCACCTACCCAGGAGGGAGCCAGGGCGTGGAGTGGAGCAGGGGTGCTCGAGAATACGGGGGGCTGGGCAAGTGGGGAAAAGTCAGAGGCAAAGTGGGGCCAAGCAGAATCAAGCGGGGCCAAGCGGGGCAAGCGAAACAAGGGACAGAAGGGACAGAAGGGAAACGAGGGAAGCAAGCAAAACAAGGGAAACAAGGGAAGCAAGGGAGGCAAAAGTGAAACAAGTGAAACAAGTGGAACAAGGCATAGTGGGGTAAGTGGGGCAGGAATCAGTGGCAGTCGGTGTTCCGATGTTTCTTGTCGGGACTGTGCAGGTGTGGGTCAGCTCTCAGTTTGGGGGCGTGCGCGAAGCCTTCAATGCCATGGACTCGGATCACACCCGCTTCATCACCCATGCAGAGTTCACAGCGGCTCTTCAACGATTCGGGTTTCAGCGTCCGACGAAGCAGCTGTTTAGCCATTTGGACAAAGACGGAAACAGCAAGATTGCCCACGGCTTAGCACTTCCTCGGTGCTTCCTCATCCTTTCATTATCTGTTCTGGTATTTCCGCGCCATGTATCCAGGTCATTGATGATGTCCTGTTTCTTGATGGCTGGAATCCTCTACCATTTCTGGTGGTACCTCCAAATTTCAAGGCCGGCCCTCACTAGAGGGTGTCGGTCTTGCGATGTCTTGTTCTTCAGCGTCAAATACATGGAGGCCATGGCTGAAATCAAGAAGTTGATCCTTGTGCGGACGGGCCAGTACATGAAAGCATGGCATCTCGGATGCTTGTGTTGACGGGGGGTGGGCAGCGGGCATGTCCCTCTCACTCAGGCGCCGACTCTTGGACAAGGATGCCACCAACCGCCAGAGCCCATGCTCACACGTCGTGCGCAAGACGGCTTGTTTCTGTTCTGTCTCGCCGACCTCAGCTGAGTTTGAAACAGCTCGCCCGAGGTTGCAACTGGTACGAGTTCAAAGACGCATGCCAGGTTCTGGGGTACACTGGTGACTTGAATTGGTCTGGAGTCAAGAGGGAATCTGGAAAGTAAGTATGGGGCATGACCTGAAAGAGTTCCTTGACGAAGCAGAGGTGATATCGCGGGAGCTTGGCGTGCATTTGACGATGACTTGCAGGATTCTTGGTCCACTCCCATTCTGTTGAAACCATTCCGCTGATACCAATCAATGATGTTCATGTGCAATCATTTGCCTCAGGTCGGGGTTCATCTCTCTGCGTCAGATTGATGAAGAGTCCGACATGGTGTTGTCCAGCTTCAGGCTGCCGGTCAGTTGAAACTGCAGCACATCTGAAGTCCCACACTGGCACAAGCTTGGGCAGAGCTTGGGCTTGGTAGAGATTTTTGGTGTCCGTGCGGCTGTGCGTTTCAGATTTCAAGAAGGCGGTGGTGTGTCTCCGAGTTCGGCTCCGTGAAGTCGGCGTTTGCCGTTTTCGATTCTGACTGCTCTGGCAGCCTGAGCTTTCAGGCTGCGGCTCATGCGGCTCATGCGGCTCCATGCGGCTCATGCATGGCTCACGAGCGTCGCGAGACTGTCGTGAGAGATTCTTGCATCAGGAGTTCCGAGCCGCCTGCCGAGTTTACGGCTATGATGGATCGGCGAGGCCTTCCAGAAATTTGTGGAATTGTCACCCGCAAAGATGATGGCGCTTTGCAGGACACTCTTCTCCGCTCTGGATGTGGACCAGCAGGGAACTCTAACCTTGTGTCTCGGCTGCATGTGACTGAGTGGATTCGAGGAGGGGGTAAGGGTAAGGGTTGGACCAGGGTTGGAACAAGGGCAGACTGCATTCTCGTGGCATGTCTGCCTTAATCGCCTTCTTGCGATGGTGCGTGCCTTGGCCTTTGTGCGGGTCATTTGTGTGCCGCACTGGTCCGGGAACGTTGCCCTGCGCCGGTTGAGAAATGTCAGCATACACCGTGCACGGTATGGCGGTGTATTTGTGCCAGATAGGTTCAGGGCTTACACATGTTTGGAGATTTTCTGCTTTCGGCTGAGGTATATATTCTTTGGACTCAAAAAGGAAAAGTGTGTCTGTGTGTGTGTGTGTGTGCATCGTTGCCAGCCAAGGAAAGAAATCTCCTTCTTGGATGACTGGGAAATTGAAGCGGTCCTTGGACTACTATCTTTGGCCATGTGTGTGCGTGTTTGCGCATGTATGTGCGCTGGAATTCAGGTACAGTAGGGAGGGTACAGGACTGTGCAGGTGTCACCCTAAGGCAGATGACGAGTTGAATGATGCTCGTCGAGCTGGTCGCTTGGCCCAGCACTGATCGGCACATCAGCTCCATGCAGATGGGGCCACGTGATAGCGCACATTAGCGCACTGTCTGTTTCAGTAGGTTTGCTGTGCTGTAGTTGTTCTGTTTTTGGGCAGGGCTGGCAGCTACGTCGAAGGTGCCGCAGCAGATGTGGATGTGCGAAGTAGGCCGCATTGTCTTAGAGAGGAGTGCACGGCTGTGGCAGGTCGGACCAGGTGGAGCTGGGCACAGCTCTTTCAGCGTGAAAGATCACCCAGCTATGACCTCACAAGGGCAAACTCGTGTGGCCATGGATGCATCAGCAAACATGGGCCCCAGGTTCGGGCACGTCGGGTGACCAGGCTGGAACTGCCAGTAATCAGTTAACTTCTGAAATCTCACGGATGCTGACAACGCATATCTGCTGAAAGGCGAAAGTGCACAAACCTCAGTGCGAAAGATGTCAGCCGTGATCGCTGTCACCTTCTCGTATGGCTGTCTTCCCGATGCATCCCGATGCTCCAAGATGAACTGCGTCAACGAGCAGCTCCTGAAATACCACGGTTGCGTCCGTCCAGAAAAGGTGCGGCGATAGCCCAGGTCAACAGGCGCTCCCATCCATACTGTTTCTTCATTGTTGAGGTGATGGGGAGTATAGCTGGTCTTCTATCGCCCTCGATTATTGGCAGTCCAAGAGCTCGAGCGCGCGCATCCCTCAGCGTGACTGCAATTTCAGGATGAGCCTAGCATCGTTTGCAGCAGTTTCCCAGCACAGGGACATGAAATCCACAGGGACATGTGTTTCAGCGGCGACAATGTCACTTGTTGCGCTTTCGCGCAAGGCGACCGTGGCCACCAGACAGATCTGTCTCCGTGAGCCCAAGAATGGATCTGGACCTCGGTTTGGGATCGCGGAGAGATCGGAGATGAGTGCTGCAGAGTGTCGCCGTTTAAAGACAATCTCGTCCTGAAGCGTTCCGGAACAAGGAACCATCGTCGCGCCGCCTAGCCTGTGCCCCCAAGCCCACGAGTTTCATGCTTTGCCGTCTGCAGCTTTCTTTTTCAGGGCAGGCAGGGAATAAATGCGGCAAACGACCAAGAAACCAAGCAACTGTTTACCGACCACCCCCTTGCGGTCAGACGGGGGGGGGGGGGACGATTTGCCACAAGAAGGGACGGGCGGTGCACAACGGCTAGAGGGGGAGGGGAGCAGTGATCCCAGTTGCCGTCTGCGATTGGCGCCTCCACATCAGTGCTTGTGATGCGTTGTTGGCGCTAACGATCATTCCGTGCAGAGGCGGCATCTCATAGGTGAATATAGGCCATGTGCTAGGACGGCCCTTCTCACTGTCTTCAACATCTGAACTCGATGGCCAGCTTGCCGCTGCAGGATCCGATCGGCAGAGCGGACATCAGCAGAGTGGACGCGAGCCAGGAGAGCATGGATTCTGAGTACATTCGAGTACTGGCTGAGTCCTGATTAGAGAGGGTTGTGAGGAGCAGGACTTCTCGTTGTCGGACATCTCCTCCAGTGCCTTCCTGGGCAAGTACCTCAATGCACTGGACGGCTTCTCATGTGCTCACGTGTTGTCGCAAAGGCTCGATGCTTGCCGATTCGGCAGTTGCCTCCTTGGTTGAGCAGGCCCGAAAAAGAACACACCCGAACACACCTCGGGGGGGTTGAGATCCCTAAATCTTTTCTCGCTTTCTGTTCAGGTAGGGCTGCCGAGACCTCCAGGCAGTCCTAGCACTCCTGAAGGCTCGGGGCTTTCGATTTTGGTGAGAGAAGGAAGGGGTTTTTAAAGTCTTTTTAAGTCGGTGAAGTGAAAGTGCTCTCAAGTGCCCCTCACCAGGATTGCCATTGCCTGGGCCAACATCCCGGGAACAGCGGAATGCGACATGAAGCATCTGAGTTTCTGGCATGCGTCTTGCTGGGCCGAGGTTCCCTCAACGACCACGCACACAGCCAAACCCACAGGTCACGAGAATTCTGTCGCGTCCCTCACTGAGCACCGAGAGTGACCAATGAATTTCAATGAGGCTGCTGCCGGTGCAAATGCGATTTACTCTGCAATTCGAGGCCTGGACGACGGTGCCAAGCCATCGCTGGACGATCTTCTGTCCAACCCCAGAGTGGGACCCTTGAAAAGCCCCAGCCCGAAGGCGATGGAGTTTCCAACTTCAAGCCGCAAGCCCTCAGATGCCCTCAGTGCTTCCCTTGGGGGGCTTGTCTGCAGGTTCCGGCGAGGATCGGATCCTCTTTTAAGAAGTCGAGGGCAGCTTGGTGGGAGTTTGAAACAAGGCATTCAACGGCCCTGACAAGCCTGATCAAGCTGTGCGTCGCGAATTTCTAAGGCCTACTACAGTTGAGACCTTGCCGTTGATACGCTGGGCTCCCTGAGCTTCGAAGCGAACCTGCTCAAAGCTGCTGAAACCTGCAGCTGCTTGGCATGCAAAAAAAGCGTCGCCACAGCAGGGGAGCTGGCAGCAATGTCAGAAGATGAGCAAAGCTCGCAGCTTCTGCACGACGGACAGCCGTCCAAAAGAATGATTGTCCATGCTGTTTCGTGACAGTGGGTTTTCATGTCTCACTGCCAAGCTCTGCATGCTCCGCATCCTCTGTGGTTCCAAGTTTAGTTTCACACCAGGAAAGCATAGCGAGAATTGAACACCCCCACATAGACAGACAAAAAATCGGTAGATACGGTTTGTGTTCGAGCACGGTGGAGCACACACCACCTGCGGCTTCCGACGCTTCCGAGAAGGGTCGGAGGCGTGCAGCTCGGGAGCATGGCCTGATGCCATGGAGCATGAAGGAGGTTGGACATGCTTCTTATGCCTGACATCCTACCCATGACCCCACCATTTTCGGATGCCAGGTACTCCAGCAGAGTCTCCAGCAGTTACAAAAGTGAAGGATTTCCTGAACACTACTTGTGGATCCATCTTGAAGGCATGGCCCAGGACTCAGCTTCTGAAACTTGCGCGACGTTTGCGCTCACAAGTGGCTTCGCAGCTCGTCCAGGCTAACTCAGTTCGATGTGGACCTGGACTACAGGGTTTCAAAGACGCATGGCTCTGATGAATTTGCTTCGGATTTCTGGCGTTCTGCAAAGAAGATCCAAGGATTGAGTTTGTGGATGGCATGCGGGCACTAGGGTACACTGCCGGAGAGCTCCACAAGTTGTTCGCCGAGATCGACGTTGTTCCTTCCTGAGATTCTGTCCAAGCTCCTAGCTGCCGCCCCATAGCATAGCACCTAGGACGGCTCCGGTGAGATTTTGCTGGCCTGGGCTCCCAGCATCAGCTGCATGACTTTTGTGAGTCCATATGGTTTGTTTTGTGCGCTCGGCGCTGGATCGAGGATGAGCTGGACCCAGAGCAGGCCATGTTGTGGAACACCTTCCGCTCATGGGCCGTCGCTCGGCTTGACCGTTTCGCACACATCTGATACCGCACTGGTGGCATGTGTTGCGTTGCATTGCGTTCGAACAGTACAGAGATGTACAGAGACCCTGAGAGGTTCAAAGCTTCGTGAGCATAGAGGACGGGGATGGACGGGGAGAACCGCTTCTGGGGAGCATCAAAACATCCTCTCTGCTTGTGGGCAGGACATGATTCTCAGTTTGACAGAAGAGGGGAACCCGTTGAACCTCGCGACGAAGGCGCCGCCATGGTTTGGAGAACAATGGTCAGTGCGGTACTCCAGCTGTGAATTGTTAGAAGTAGCTGTCCTAGTGGCAAGATGAGACAAGACGTGGATAGGTGAGTGAAGGCTTGCAATGTCAAGTTCTTCACCCGTGCTGTTGCAGGACATGGAGTGCGTCTCGCAGGAATCCTTCTGACACGGGCTTAGCTTCAGATGTCTGCCTAAGTTACCCAAGTGGCGGGCCAGTACGTGCCAAGAGGGCTCAACTGTCCCAAGGCAGGAGGCTCCCAGAGCTCGACTGGAAGGCGAATGGTTTTGGGGTTCAGGGCTCAAGGTTTTTTGGTGTTTTGAAGGTTTGGGAGTGGAGGGTTTGGGGGTCTCACAGCTGCTGTCCTGGCGTGACATGTGCAAACCGGTTGCAAAGTTAGGTTTCAGGCCCGCTCGGGCGATTTCCGCTTGGCTTAGGGTGGAAGGCTTAGGGACGGAAGTCAGCCAGGCCGGGGCCTGTCACCGTGTTTGAGGGTTAGGGTCTGGGGCTGTCTCCGACACTCCGCACATTCTTTCTGCGCGGAACATGGTGGGTTCTTGTGAGGCAGGGCATGAAGAGTTCCTTTTCTCAGTTCTCGACATGGACAACGACGGCCGCCTCAGGCCGCACTGCCTCCGTTCGGGGCCTACGGCCTAAACACAGAAGAACTACCGAGAGCATCGGAGAGCACCGGAGAGCGTTCTCCAGGTTAAGAGTTTAAGAGTCTGGTGGTCTGGTGGCGGCTGCTGCTGTGGTGGGCACTTCTTGTCCACCACCCCCCCTCCCCCCACATAAGGAGCAGAAGCAATCTTTCTCTCTTTGTCTTAGGCTGGTTGGGCATTGAGCTGAAGCGCCTTCAGCGGAAGCGTGCGGCAAAAGCTGGTACGGTCAAGGCAAGGCCTCGGATCAATATTCTGAGTGCAGGATAGTGCAGGTGTGAGGATCCGCAGAGTCGCGGAGAGTCCCCCGATTTTTCGGAAGAGCCCGATCTAGTATTCAAGCTTTGCCACGCCTGCCAGAAGAAGTCGTCGGGACTCCAGCAAAGCGTATTGGAGCAAGAGCCGCTGGATCGCAGCTTGTGAGCCTCTGGCCATCGCGATGGTCACAGCTCAGCTCTCTCGGACGTGATCCTGAGGTTGCATGAGTTCAAAGAAGATATCCGGAGAAGGCTGGGAGCTTCAGTATGAAGTCTGAAGTGATACTCGTATGGAGTCCTTCGCACGCAGACTCATGAACCCGCCAGGTTCGGGGGCGGCAACCTGACCCGGGCATGGCGTGTGGCGCTATCTGACACGAGCGTGCTGCCCAGGACGCGATTCCTCAAGGCAGGGCTGGGGCAAGCAATTCGAGCGCACTTTTCTTTCTTGGCGTTACTTTGATTCTTTGCGGTGCTACGTGCCCAGTATTGCCCGGTGTTTAACAGCGTGATGTCAGCCCGGAGCAGCCTTGCAACAGGGTTCCGCTCGTAAGCTGTAAGCTGCAGATGGCTGCAGGCTTGTGCCAAGATGGGCTACGCCAAGAAAGGCAAGGACCTCTGGAAGATGCTGGACAAGACGGGCAGTGGCTTCGCCTCCGTCGATGAGATTGATCCCAAAACTGCGCAGGTTTTGGCTCACTTTAAGAAGTTTGTGGATGAGCGCTTCAACGGCTATCATGCCGCATTTGAGAATCTGGATCTTGATGGCACGCGGAAGATCCGACTGCAACAGTTCCAACAAGGGCTCGAGAAGTTTCGGTTCCCCTTTCACAAGCAAGCGGCGACGCTTTTTGCTGCCTTAGACCTGGACGAGAATCATGTCATCGATGAGGACGACTTGCACTTCCTTGAAAAATGGAGCCCGTTGCCTTTCTTGACGGCGTCTCCGAACCCGAGGGCAAGAGAAGAAGTTCGAAAGCTCCTCATTCATCGCTATGGCCGTGCAGTGAAAGTATGGTCTGCGACCGAGCTTCGCAGCCTTTGTGATCTGCACAGCCGCTGTCTAGAGAGTCGAGTGGTTTCTTGCCAAATACGAGGCGGCACCTTTTGGATCGAGATGGCAGCAATCGTGCAGGGCCCAACAGTTGCAAGATGTTGCAAGCCACATCGCTTCCAGATCTGTCTTGCACATGGTTGGCTCAAGACTCTCGCTGCGAATTCTTCCCCACCCTCGCCCGGAACTCTTCTCCTCGCCCGGTCTACTCCTCGCTCTTCCCTCGAGTGCCCAACCCCAAAGTGTCCCTGGAGTGCCCAACTGAAGAATCTCCCTGGAGTGCCCAACCCCAGAGTCTAAGTGTTTGTTTGAGACTCCAAAGTTCCCCGGAGTGCCCAACTTCAGAGTCTTTCTCCTGGAGTGGAAAACCCCCAGAGTCTCCCTGAATTTGCCTAACTTCAAAGTGTCCTCTGAAATGCCCAGGAGTGCCCAAGCCCAGATTGTCCCCAAGTGCAGAGTCCAGAGTGTGCCGGAGTGCCCAGCCCCAGAGTCTCCCTGTTGTTCTGGAGCGCCCAACCCAGAATGTCCCCCAGAGTGCCCACCCCCAGAGTGTCCCTGGAGTGCCCCCCAGAGTATCTCTCCCAAGAGAGGGTGGGGATGTTTGAGGTAAATAAATTTCTGCGAGGGGGGGCGTTTGGCCTTTCTGAGGCTGCAATTGGCATGAGTTCCTCTTCGCTTGCAAGACCTGCGGCTACCATGGCACTTGCCTCAAAGCCTCTGGCGAGAGCAAACAGGGTTCACAGTCAGTTGCCCAGGCGACATTCCTGGAGCGTGGCGGGCATTGGATGTGGATCTTTCAGGGTGCCCATCGCTTTGAGTCAACAGAGGAGATTCTCCGCAGCACTCATCGGAGTCGGGTGGCAATTGTGCCGTGGGACCCAGGTACATCACCTTGAAAGAGTTGGATGCAGAAAGCCATGGGACACTCATGGAATTCAGGACGCGGCGCACGCTTCGTCGCATTGGCTTCATCCTCTCTCATGTACCAACTGTACAATTGTCACGAAATCTTGCAGAGCCAGGCTTGAGTTTGTCTCTGCTTTAGCGGGGAACCGGAGCAAATCTGGTGGAGTTGCCTTTTTTCCGGACAACATGGAGGAAAATTGGGAGGGGGGGGGGGCGGTCCTGATCTGTCAGAAGGCTTGGGTGGGTAGGGGGGGGGAGGGGGTTCACCATTCATCGAATCCGTCGAAGGGGGGGGGGGGGGGGTCGCCAGGTAGTGTTTGGTAGCGGTGTCTGGTGTCTGGTGGTGTGGTGGTGTGGTGGTGGTGTGGTGGTGGTGGTGTGGTGGTGGTGGTGATGGCGGCGGTGGCGGCGGCGGCGGTGGTGGTGGTGTGTGGTTGCTGTGTGGTTGCCGTGTGGTTGCTCTGTGTGTGTGTGTGTGGTTATTGTGCTGTGTGGTTGGAGGGTGGTGGAATGTGGTGGAGTTGGAGCATGGAATTTGGTGGTGGTGGCCCGTGGTGTGTCCAATCCATATTGTCTTCAATCCAGGCTATACCTTTCGTTGTCCTTGGCCCTGCCCCTAAAGTCTGGGTTCTCCAGAACCATTCTCTAAACTACGAACCTCTTTTGTCCTCGCCTTTGACAATTTGAAGGACTTGGGCCTTGGACGAATTTGGTTCGGCCAAGGCCGCCTTTTCAGTCTTCGATCGCGATGGGTCGAATACCTTAACCTTCCAGGACGCCTTCTGTCAAACCTAGTTTTTGTCGAGGTTTTTTTTTTCGTGCTCTTCAGCAGTTCCATGCAGTTCCAGGAATTCCGGGCAGCCTGCAAGATCTATGGGTACGAGGTAGTGTGCATCTGCCGGCTGCTCTCGTGGCTCCATGTCTCGCGGCATGCAGGGGCATGCCAAGCAGCTTTTCGCAGCTCTGGATGCCACTTTGGATGCAGCCTGGTGCTATCACAAGGTTGCTACGTGCCACGTGTGCTTGTCTGAGGTGAGAGGTGAGGGCTCTCTGTCCTTGAAGGAGGCGGAGCATGTCAAAGAAAAAGCCCTTAGTCATTCATCCTCACTGGGGGCGCCGTTGTCATTGCCTTGAAGGTTGCTTTCCTTGACGACTGGAGGGACGATGTGGACGAGATGAGGAAGGCTCCGAGCATCTCTAAACCCTCGCGGATGTCTCTTTGGGAGAGTTTCTGGTGGGCCATGTCTGAGGCCAGAAAGGCCATCGCGGGCTTTCTGCTGTCTCCGATCAGCCCACGAAGCTTGTCAGCATCTGCGTGAGCTTCACCTCCGCCCTTGTAGTGGAACTGTATGAAGGTGGATAGATAATAGATACATCAGGCAAAGATTACCCATCGAGAAGTCTATTCTGCTGTGTGTCATAGAATGCATTTGTAAACAGACTTAACTCTATCAACAAGCTTGTGGAATAGGTAAGGACTGCAAGTCGTACCTTTCTCCTGCACCCGCAGGTTCCGAGGAAGGGCGGAGAGGGGCTCTCGTCGCAGGATTTCAAAATGCCACTTGTCATATCTTGTCATGAGCCACCTGCGCCAGGGACATGTTCAAGGTCTGTCTTAGTGCCAACACTTGCGCAGATGGCTGGCGCTTGTTGGCATGGTACCTGAGGTTAAGGAAATGCAGAGGAAGCTGCTGGACATGGAGCGCGCCAAGCAAGTTGCGAAGCAGTGGCACGCAGCAGCGCCCCGCCTTGTTCTTCTGCATGTAAGATAGCGATGCCTTCAGCGTCCCTGCACTCCAGGTAGCAAAACCGATGGAACTTGTGGATCTTTGCAGGAGCCGGCGCAGAAAGGTAGTAGCGTCATCTCGCAGCGACGTCTGTAAAGGGCAGAAGTCTGCACAACACTGCAAACAGAGGACGAGAGGTGCAGGAGGGAGCACCAACTCAGGGCCTTGCTGAGCTTGGCTGAGCTTGGCTGTGCAGGAAGCATGCGAAGTCTGATGACGTTCTCGGCCGAGACTCTGCACGAAAGCATGAAGCCATCAATCAGTCACATGCAAAAAGGTATCGAGTCCGTCTCCATCTCCCCCGTCACCCAGGCTTGGGAAAAGCTGTTGACTCTTTGCTGGCTTCTTTGCGTTAGCATGCGCTCTTTGTGCAGGCGAAGAACCAGAGCATCAGGAGCTCCCCATCGCCTAGAGGGGCCAGACTTTTGCCGTCAATTCTTTGTGAAGCCGACGCGCTGAGTCACCAATGCGCATTCATGCGCATGCTCACCTGGCAGTTCATGCACTGTCTCCCTTCTCTGCGAACGATTGTAATCCTAATGTACCGAGGCAGTCAGAAGTCAAAAGCCAGGAGGCGTGAATCATCTCCACTGCTGATGCGTGATTAAAGCGCTCCTGGAGGTCAAATTGCCCGATCGCCGGGTGCTTTACTCTCGCAAGGCAGATCAACATGGCTGAAATCTGTGTCTTTTGCTTGGCCAAGCAGTTTTTCCAGTTTCAGCACAGCGTTGTTACTTCGGGCATTTTATTCTCTTTGTTGTAGGGGGAAGAAGGAACGAAAGGAGTGCTCTGAGGCGGGATGCTCGTGCCCTCCACCCTCGTTTCTGAAGAAGGGTGCAGGCTGATAAAGTGTCGTCGAGTATGAATGGGGCAAGTTGGACGCAATGGACCGGGGCATGTGAGAGTACCGCGACTTGCCAGTCTGAAGCCTGTCGGCCGGGCCTAGTGTCCTAGCAATCGCAAAGGTTTCGAGGTGCTCCGAGCCGTCGAAATGGGGCTGAGGCTACTGAGGGTTTCGAGTGTGAGCGAAGTAAGAAAGTTTCGGAGCGTGCGTCCTGCCATATCGGCAGGATGCAGTGCCGGTAGGTGGCGCAGATCAGTTTGAACCGAGTGGGGACCAGCTGTAGGGGCTTAGGAACAGGGGTTGCTGCGGTGAAATGGGTGCGCCCCATCGGTTGAAGCCGCGAATGCCCCCTGGCGGCGGGCGTCTCGGGGGTTACCCCATGCCCCCAAGAAACAAAGAGAGAGAGAGAGAGAGAGAGAGAAGAGAGATATCAAGTTGGGTCAAGACGAACCTGATGTGGATGGAGAAGCGGAGCCGTGTGTGCCTAGAACACGAGGAGGTGCACGTCAACATGGAAGCCGAGATGGAGCCCACAACACGGACCACGAAAGGGGGGCCCGTGACAACCTCAATGACTACACCGGCGAACAAACACGGGACCACGCTGGAGAGTATGCCACCGGGGAGCCGAAGAAGTGAACACAACAGAAGCACTGCAGACCAATGGGGAGGAGCTGCTCGTGGGGGGCCTCAGTGAGTGCATGGAGGAGCCGACCACCGAGTCTGCCACGGAACACACCATGGGTGGCCACCAACAGGAAGCAACGAACCAGGAGGAGAAAGACCCAAAGCGAGCAGCCCGCTTAACCGAAAGTGATTTTTGGGGGCGAGTGAACTGACTCGCAACCCAGAAGGGTTTTGGACCTCGGACTCAGCAGCGGGCCGTCAAAACCGGTGGTCTTCCCTTTTGGGGGGGGGGCACCTTCGCTGGGTAGAAGAAGAAGAAGAGATATATTTGGGACCCTCTTCTCACCACTGGATCGGAGCAGCGGGCCTGCGCGGCCGGGGTTCCTCTTCGGGGGGGACCTCGTCGCTGGGTAGAAGAAGAAGAAGATGTCGAGTTGGAAAGAGGGGATAACTAATCCAGCTCGGCAAAACAGAACTTGTCAGAAGGAGGCCGTTGGCAAACACCCCAAAACTAGGATAGGCGGCGGGACTTGGGGGAAGGTTCGGAAAGGTTGAAGTGTGGAATTGATTTGGGCAAGGGGAGTTCAGGAGCTTGCGGGCAACCTAGGACACGTGGGGGCCAAAAAGGGGGCCGGCCAGCAAAGGGGGCGGCCAGCGACCCAAACAAGTTTCACCAAACGCCCAAAACCACACGGAGGCAAGAAGGGCTGGAGACTACGCTGGGGGCAGATGGTGGGGCTTGAGCTGAGGGCTTGGGGGTCATAATGGGGGGCAGTCCAGACATGCCACACAGTAGTCAAGCATGCTGCGTATGCCCTCGAACCACACTGAGGGCTGGGATGGGCTGGAGAAGGTGTTCGGGAAGGTTGGAAAAGTTTGACCTGTGGGGAGAGTTCCGAGAGGGGTGAGCGTGGGACTAAGAGGAAAAAGGGGCCGAGAGCAGCTAATGGCGAGGCAGTGTGGAAAGTTTCACGTACAGCGCCAACCAAACGAGAGGCCGATACGGGATAAGTGGGACAGGCACGGGGCTCGAGGACCGATGACGGGCCGACAGCTCTGATATGGGTCGGGGAACTTTTACCTTTAGTACGGGGGGGTGGGGTAGAAATCGAGTCGCGCGTTCTGCTCTCAGACTGTTCCTGGAGGGGCCCCGAATACAGGGGCGGGCGCGGGCGCCCGGGGGCTGCCCCCATGCCCCCAGAAGAAAGAAGGAAAGAAAGAAAGAGTGAAAGAGATATCGAGTCCAGTTCATGATACGGGACCGAGGAGGTGTTGCAGATGGGCGGCGCTCGAGATGCAGGATCGGGGCGCGACTTGGCGCGGCAGAAAGAAAGAGAAAGAAAGGAAACAAAAGGAAATGGACAAAGAAAGAAAAAAAAGAAAGAAAGAAACATGAATAAGAAAAAACGGCAAAGAAAGAACGAGATACAAAGAAAGAAAGAAATTGCAAACGCTTGCGCGCGCCGCCTCGGCAGCCGGGCCGGCCCAGAGCATGCAGCATGTGGAGATGACGGCAATATTCCGCGGGCGAGACGGAGCCGTTGATTTAGGTGGGTTCCCAAGCTGGGGGTGTGGGGGGGGGGGGGGGGGGGGGGGGGGGGGGGGGGGGGGGGTGTGGATGTGGGGTGGGGTTAAGGGGAAGGAGACCTGATCCGGGTCTGCTTGCTTGCGGCAGGAAGCCGAGGCGAAAAACAAAAAGAAATAAATAAAGAAATAAGGACTCGAATATGTGCCCGCTGGAAGGAAGGAAGACTCGGAATCCTTGTCCTCTGTTCTAGCAGAGAGAATGCTTGCTGAGCAGGCTGCAGCGGTGCCTCTTCCGGCAATTGGAGCACCCCAGGTCTGGCAATAGCTTGGAGAGTTGACAGAGATATTTTTGGTGATGCCAGGAAACTGACCCGCCTTGCCAAGTGAAGGCCGCGCACTTCAGCCTGATAGGGCCTAATAGGGCCTAAAAGGGCCTAATAGGGCCTAATAGGGCCTAATAGGGCCTAATAGGGCCTAATAGGGCCTAATAGGGCCTAATAGGGCCTAATAGGGCCTTATATGCCCTTGAGGCTCTAGTGGGCAGTGGTTCGGCAGAATGTTCAGAGAACATTTTAACAAAACAGGCACTAGCGTTGCATGCGCAGAGCAGCTTGGAGTTCACACTATTTTGATGGATGGAGCCTGAACCGTCATGCCTCCTCACACCTGAACCGGGATGCCTCCTGATTCCTCTTGCGGTTGGAAGGTGAGAGAGCAGCTTCCGCTGCAGCAATTGTTGCTGAAGCCGACGCTAGACGAACTTCTGCCGACGGCTTCAAGCAGTTGATGTACATCATCGTTCATCCCGCTAAGTGACGGACTTGCTCCGTGCTGAGGCGAACAACGTCGTCCGTGACTTGGAAAGGTGCCTTTATTTGTGTCGTGATACAACAGGCAGCAAAGCAAGATTGTCAGGCAACTGTGCTGGTCGCTCAGCACTCTTTGCCTTTCCATTGCAATCGGCGACACGTTCCATGGTGAAAATGACCACAAGACAGCATGACAGTTGCAAGCTGCCTCGAAGGTCAAGCCCATCGACGAAGCCAAAACTCTGCGAGGATTGCTGCGTGATTTTGCCTGCGAGTATCGAGTTGTCCTATCAGCGCCCAGGAGTCTTGCCCGCAGTTGTCCAATGACACGCAACACGCAACCAAGTTGCACGAAGAACCCGAAGGCACCTGGCCAAGCCAGTGCCTTCTCCGTCGGCGATTTTGCAAAACTGCGAAATCGCCGTTTTACAGGTGTCCAGCGGAGAACACAGAAGATTGCTCGTGCCAAAGGTTGCTGTTTTGCCAGAAGTGCTGGCTTTTCTGGCCGTTTTTCAGGTGTCCCATGCCATGCCTTCCAAGACGCCTCTCCACTGCTTTTTATTGTCCAAGCTCATAGCTCCTGGTGCGCTCCGGGGCGCTGGTCCGTGGAGCGCCGATCAGGTGTGACAGTCGGGTCCTTCAAGTCGGCTTCCCACGGCTTCCGACGGGTACCCATGGGTTCCCAATGTTACCGAGTTTGATTCACGTCGCCTCCCCCTCTCTGTCTCTCTTTCTTTCTGTCTCTGTCTGTCTTTCTTTCTTCCCTTTTTCCTCCTCTCTTTCTTTCTTTTGCTTTTTGTTTCACCGCTTTGAGGGTGACGTGGCAGAATGCCATGCCCATGTGGGAAGGCGCCCCCTCGTCGGTCACATGGACAGCGGCTCAGGCTGGAGAAAGGCCCGGTGGCCCGAGACTTTCTTGCTTTTCGTTTCATAATCTTGGAAAGCCCATCTTGGAAAGCAGCGATGGCGGTTTAGGCTCTCTATATCGCGGGCGGCACAGTTGCGACAGCTGGCCTTCTATGGCAGCCCGGCTGCATAGACTACGGCCATCCCCAGGCTTTCAGCGCATGGACCGCAGCCGCAAAGTTTTGACAAGAGATTTCAGGTACTTGCTACATGAGGAGGAAGAAGAGGCGGGGCAGGAACACCTGAAACATTGCGAAAGGGGCATCGTGCGCCTGCGCACGCCTGCGTCGCACATGACATCGCTCGGCTCCACCTGCAGGCTGCAGACTCGGAGGATCTTCTTTTTTACCGTGCCTGGAGCCATACGAGTGCGCCGCCCTTCAATGCGCCAATCCCAACCTGCATAAGTCAGGTCACCGACCCACGGGGTGCCTCCATCGGCATTCGTGAAGAGCCAGAGTCTGAGGGCTTCGTGGCTGCTGTGGCTGCTGGCTGCAGCGGCCACCTGCCGAGGGCTTCAGACATCATGCACTTATATTTGTTGGCTCTAGGAAACGTGCAGGCAAGTTCTCAGGCAAGCAAACCAGCAGTCTTTTGCGCAAGGCCTGATGTGAAGTCAGCCCGAACAGGGAGGCAGCTTCTTCCCCACCAGGCGCACGCGCTTTGACTGCCGGTAGAATGCAGAGCTTGGCCTGTTCATGTCTGTTCCCAGGTCTTCCAGGTGTCAGAGGTGAGAAAGGCTTGGACGCGACATCTCTCGTTCAACGTATCGGACGTATCGACGATCTGGCCATCTATTCGGTTCCGATGACTGCAGCAGAATGGAGCAGGATCTTGTTGCTTTGGAGCAGGCAGAAGACGAGCAAACGTACTTGCGGCTTGCCGATGGCCGGGGATGGGTGTAAACCTCACGCTGTCCGAGCTGCTCTATGGTGTTCCGCAACAGGCATGTGAGTTATGCTGGGCTTGAGGCATTCACTCACAGCTCCAAAGACGGGCGGCTGCTGTGCGAACAGATCAGCCAGGAAGAGGCAGCAAGAGGTCAAAGAGCGTTCAAAACAGATATTACTCTGCATCCGCGTTTGCAGGCCGTCCAGGAACTGGATCAATCGCAGCCCAGCAGCCACCCACTCACTCCACATGTGTGCATTATTTTTCAGAGCTCCACGCTTCCGCAAATGCGAGAACTGGGAGAAGGCATGCAGATGATGGCGCAAATGCAGATGCTGATGGAGACCCAGCCTGTCGGGAACTTAGAATGTTGAAGTGGGCTTGAGTAGCCGAGTATCCTCGAATGTGGGGCACAAACCCGGGACGCAATGGACATGCAGGAGCTTCGCGAGCAAATCATGGCTTCGCCAGAAGTGCATGTCTGGCTTGTATTGATTTTCATGATTTTGGTTGAGGAGTTGTTGATGACTCCATGACAGGCAGGCGATGATGATGAACCCAGAAATGCTACAGTATGCCGTCCTGGGCCGAGTCGATCATTGCACGGGCGGGGGGGGGGGGGGGGGGGCAGGGCGGGCCAAAAATTCGAGACAGGCTCAACAACACTCAATGGCTTCAGAGGTGCGGCGTATTGCGGCGTCCACAAGTGATATACTGGGAATGAATACGATTTGATTTTGATTGTCGCTGTTTTAGACATGTACTGTCGGTTTCCGACAATGCAGGCATTAAAAGGGCAGCCGCAGCTTCAACAAGCCAGCTGGCCCATTGGTTTTGTTGCTCGATTTTTTTCCAACGGGTTATGCTTCTTGAGGCGTTGAATACTGCTGCGTGCTCAGCTTCCCGATGACGTAGACGGATGTGCGCAATTCTGTCTTTGAAAGTGCGCATTGCGCAAGCCGTGCGCAAGAGTGTAAGAGTGTTGACGGCAGGATCCTCAGGGTTTGGCAGAAGCACTCCAAGCGGCGCAAGTCTCAGCCTTGGCTGATTCTGGAGAGTTCGTGTTGTGTCGCCTTGAGGATAAATCCACGTTGCGATCGCAATTTTTTCGGATTTCCTCCGCTATGGAATCGGCTGTTGCAGGCCAGATGAGTAGCGGCTGAGGCTTTTTGCAGGGATCTCAGCTGAGAGTTGCAAGATTGCCTGGGGCACAGCAGGGGTTTTGTCAGCGATCCCTTTTTGTCGAGCGAGCTTATGTTCTGCTTTTTTTCATAGCAGGAGTGGCCAATGCACAGCATGTGGTGGCGGTTGAGTTTGTGTAGAGGTACCGCAACGACATGCAATTTTTGCATCGCCGAGGTCTTGCTGCCCGTTCTTGGCCGTGAGGCCGCTGACGTAGGTTAGTGTAGGTCAGGCATCACGATGGCAAGTGAAGCCCGTTGAAAAAGTTGTGAAGATGCTTCATCCATGCCGAAGTTGCATGTGGCTGTGCTTGCGCATGAATCTCAAAGTTCGTTCAATCCGTCACTGAGCTTCCCTGATGCATTCTTTCCTGTCAATCCTTAGACTGCCTTAGTTGCACAGCCTTAGCCGAGTTCGAGAACACTGTGCTCATGGCAGAGCCCGCGGCTAAGAAACAAAAGACCGAAGACGGCGCCGACGGCGCCGACGGCGCTGAGGCAACCGAGGAAAAAACAGCTCCGGAGCCCGAGGAAGAGCAAGAAAAGGATGCAGTCGAGTCGAAGGGTGCCAAACTGAAGGAGAAAGTCACATTCCTGACTCCAGACACTACTTTGAATGTCGTCGTGTCATCCAATAGCTCTTTGCTCCTGCCCTTGTCTGATGGTGGAGCGCGCCACCTTTTGGCAGGTGCGAGAACCAATGTTGGGCTGAAGAACGGCCGCTACATGTTCGAGGCCAAGATCGTCGAGCAGGTTGTTAGGGCTGAGGAAGGTGGCAAACCACATCCTAAGCATGTGCTGCGCATTGGCTTTTCTACAGCTGCGTCATCACCTCTCATGGGCATCGACGAGACTAGCATTTGCTTCGACATGGAGGGTGTTCTTATCCACAACAAGGAGAGAACATCTCTCGGCATTGGTGCCAGATATGGCAAGGGAAGCATTGTAGCCGTTGTGTTGAACTTGGACAAAGCGTCCCCAAATGTCAACACCCTGAGCCTCTTCAAGGATGGCAAGCGAGTTTCCAAACCGCAGGCGCTTCCGGCCTCGCTCCAAGGCAAGGCACTGTATCCCACGGTGACGTACCGAAATCTTGCAGTGGGCCTTAGCTTCGGCCCCCAACCTCAGGTTCCACTGCCCTTCACCTGCCACATGGTGCAGGGAGCAGTTGCCTCTCACACTACCGTGACCGCACCGAGTAAGGACCAAGAGTTCGAGGTGCTCTTTCCGGTGTGCTTGCCTGATCAAGGCGGCTTCGACTGGTTGGATTCCTTCAAGCAACAGAATCCCAAGTACACCGAGATCTCCGACCGCATGCTGCTGGACTGGGCTGAGAAGAGTGGCATCCCAGCCCCAAGAGGCATGGGAAGCAACGACAAACCAGAGCTCCGGTTCGGTCTCCCAGAGATGGATGACATGAGCATTCGGCGCATGATCCACGCCATCGCCCCTCTCCAGAAGCGCCACTACATCGTCATGGAGCTTCGTGCGAACCTCATAAAGGAGACAAGGGCCGACAGCCTGAGTGCCTTTTTTGACAGCTCTTTCAAGAAAGTGGCCCATGTCGTCGTGGGAGATCCGAAGAAGGAGTTCGTGAAGTTGAGCCAGGAACTCATGTTGGCTGAGAAGCAGGAGCAATCCGACAAGGACTTCAAGATGAAGAAAGAGGAGGCGGCCAGGAAGAAGGCAGCTGAAAAGAAGCAGAAAGAGATCGAGAAAGCCAAGAAGAAGGCCGAGAAAGAGCGCCAAAAGAAGATGGAAGAGATGAAGAAGGCTACTGAGAAGGCATCTTGGCCAGGGTGTTGGAGCGCCAGCTGTGCTTGCTGAGAGGTTTTTTTGCTAATTTTTGCTGCTCAACATGTTTGGCATGCTTAGAGTCTTAGAGTCCCATATGGTCGCGGGTTTCATGGGTTTTGCGCATCGCGTGCCCGCAGCGCGGAGGCAAGGAAGGAGGCCGAGCGGAAGAAAGCAGAAGCGGAAGGAAAGGAGGTCCCGGAAGAGGAGGAGGAGGAGGAGACCAAGGACGTGGACATGGAGGAGGACGAAGAAGAGGAGGAGGAGGAGGCTGAGGAGGTGGACGAGGAGCCACCAAAGGTGGAGCTCTCGCCAGAGGAGAAGAAGATGAAGTTCCGCAAGACGGCGTTGCCCGATGTTGCCATAAGTTTCTTGAACCGCTGCTTTACAAAGTTTACGGTTCCGGACCTGGAGGAGGGCTTTGACGAGGTCAATTACGAATGGAGCCAAGGTCCCAAGGCCACGGAGGTCGTGAGCAAATGGATCAAGGAGAGGAAGCTCACTAGCCGAGTAGAGGACCTTGCTCCTTCCATGTGGTTCAAGACGAAGTGGGCGGCCTGGCAAAAGGTTCTGCAGCAGTGGCAGGCCAAGGTGCCGGAATTCAAAGCCAAGCTGACCAAGAAAGCTCAGGCCAAGGCGGCCAAGGAGACCCAGAAGAAGATAGCAGAAGCCAAGGCAGCTGCAGAAAAAGCGAAGAAGGAGTCCGAGAAGCAAGAGGCAAAAGAGGAGGAAAAAGACGAAGAGGAGGTGAAAGAGGAGGAGAAGCCGGAGCCCATGGAGGTCGAGGAAGAGGAGGAAGAGGAGGAGGAGGAGGTCGACTTCGACGGCGTCGACATTTTTGGCGTAGATGAGGTCGACGACATCGGCGGCGGCATGCCGCTCTACAAGGAGTTCGGCCATGAAGATTGGGCTTTGATGTCCTTGTGCTTTGAGCTCCACTTGATGGCCCATGCCTTCAAGAAGGATTGCGACGATCCGGACAGGAAGGGAATCGTCCTGGAGCATCTGGCCTTCTACTATCAGAGATATTACCAGAAGCAGCTCTACCTCAAGAACTTCGGTGTTGAAAACGAAGCTCAGCTGGTGGACTTAGCCAAAGACTGTGTCTTCGTCAACAAGGACAAGGTTCTCGAGTCCTTGCTGGATGAAGAGATCGAGTATCCGCAGGTCTTTGTGAAGATTGCTGAGGAGGGACGCAGACACCGAGCTCTACTTGTGGACATGGGTGATGAGTCAGCCAAGCTGAAAATCACCCACAGCGTCTCTTCACATAAGGGTGGAAAGGACTCCGGGAAGGGAAACATGAAAGGTCCCAGCAAAGGCTATGGCAAGGGGGTCATGCCAGTTGGTCCGCTCGGGATGGGCATGGGGGGCATGGGCATGGGAGGCATGGGCGGCCCAATGGGCGGCCACATGGGTGGCCACATGGGTGGCCACATGGGTGGTCACATGGGCGGCGGCATGGGCGGCGGCATGGGAGGCGGCATGGGAGGCATGGGCGGTGGCATGGGAGGTGGCATGGGTGGCATGGGTGGCATGGGCGGAATGGGTATGTCTATGGGGAAAGGCAAAGACTTTGGCAAGGGTTACATGCCATACGGAAAGGGTGGCAAAGGATGGAAGGGCAAGTGAGTCAAGTCGCCGTGCAAGCCCATGGAGAGTGAGCCCACGCGAGTTGGGCAGCGGGCCCGTACCATGCATTTTGAGACATGAAGACGATGCTCTCTACTTATGTGATTGTAACTGATTAGTAGCTTATATAGCTTCACAACTCCTGTTGACTCGAAACAAGGCTGTAAAGTTGTAAAACAAGATCTGTTGCACCACACATGCCAATGAGGCTCATCTGAGCCCAAGTTCATGCACAGCATCTGCCTCCGCGAGTTCTGTTACTGCGTGCGATCTGTTTCTGATACGTCCTGATGTGCTTTGGAGGCAGGTTTGCTCCCCCGAAAGTATCAGCTGCGCTTTCGCGCTTGAAGTGTTTGACGCCAGGCACCCGCAGAGCGGAAAAAGGGCACCCGAATGTTTTTTAGTCTTTGTCTGTGCCGTGCCAGTGCTGAGTGCGCACTTTCTGTCCAAAATGCGATGTCCAGTTGCGTTGGATTGCAGCCTTAGGGTCATACAACGAGTCCACGAGGGGGGTGTGAGCCAGCCCCTGCAAACGGTACAGTTGGAAGAGGAGCCACATTAGTGAGCGCAGCAACAACGTTTAGCTCGTTTCGCACTTTGTGTAGCTTTCCTGCCAGGCCTTGCCTCACCAAGCTTGACAATGTGGGTTCAACTTTACTCGCTGAACGCAATTGCCCGCGGATGCCATGGACTCCACTCCCGCGAGAGCTGAAGGTGCCATGAATAACGCTTCGGTTCGGTCATGTCGAAGCTGGTGTTGTGCTCTGCAGCGAAGCCTTTGCGTGCAGGTGCACTGTTTGCGGCTGCTGCATGCCAGTGATGTGTTAGCTTGCAGCGGTTAGGATCCCAGGTTGCCACACCAGTTTGCCAAGTTTACGTATTCTCTTGTCTTGGAACATTCTGCGGCGGTTGCCACTCAGGATCTTGCCGCGTGGACTTTGCCGCTGTTGATGCTGAGGCCGGCAAACAGTCCTCTCCTGCAGAACGGAGTAGAGCCACCATCCCTGGCAGAATCTTCTGGAATCTTGTTCTGCGCTTGGCGGTGAGGAGCTGTGGGCACTCCTATTCCAGCGGGATTGGCGGTGGCTTTGTGCTGATGGACCGTGCAACTTCACGCCTTCCAGGAGCAACGTCCTGCGCACTGTTCATATGGTAAATGATGTGTTCATGCCACTGTTACATTGGTATTTTTATCCTGTCTCAATTCTTTAAATATTTCTGAAAGCTAGTCACATCAAGCTTAGAGGGACTGTGGCCGCTAGGGACAGCACATTGAGATTCTTGGAAGGCAAAGCCACCGAAGACTTGCAGAGAAGGCCGGACTTTGTACTGTATCGCAGCTGCACAGCTTTAGCAGCCAGTGCTCAGGCATCTTTGATGCCCCTTTCAATACAGTCGGGTTCCGACAAGGTTGGCAGCAGCCGAGCTGCCTTCGTGGTGATCCCCGGCATGTCTTGACTCCTTGAGACAGTGCAATGATGTGCCATGATGTGCCATGAGGCCGACTCGGGGTCAGAGCATGGGAGGTCCTTGGTGGTTGTGTCCGAAGAGATGATGGGGGACGCCATGCCGATGGAGTGGCCGCTGGAATGAATACAGCCTTTGTTCGCGACACCGAGTCGCACGTGAAAGTACGATGAGTTAGGTTCGGGGTTAAACGTTGCAGAACGCAGGCGAGTTCCCGTGTGCTCTATTCTTTTCCATTTCCGTACAAGAAAGCCCACCGGCGTTCAGTTCGGTTTTTGTCGGTGCACCTCCCGGAATCGTTCTGTTGGGACAAGCTCCGCACCTTTCCGAAGCCCTACCAAAAAAAGAACTGCTGCGCACTTTGACAGCTTTGGGCCAAGCCTCTGCAAGCCTCTGCTTTTCCGGCCAAGTGTTGGCCATATTTCGACTTCAGGGTGTTGCAAAGTCTCCTGCTTTGTCCACTTTCCTCAGCCACTTGAATCCACCTGTCCATGACCACCGGGTACAGGAAGCACATAGAAACGTAAAATGTCGCAATAGCTGTGCAACGCGAAGTGAATTCCTGCTCTCGACCTTCTTGCAGCTATCCAGACCGAGCTCAGCAAACTGGGTGTTGCAGATTGCTGCAGATTGTGCGTAGTGGGCCCAACACAACAGTCAGGGCACCTCATTCTCCAAGATCTTGCACCGTGTACAGTGCATGCAAGCGCATGCAGTGAATGCGGTGCAATTGGTGAGGGGAGAATTGGCAGAGCAGCATCGTCGGCAGATTCAGCGGGGATTGCTGAGGTTCTGTCGGTGCTGTCTGCAGATGACACGAAGGTGCAATAGCCTTTGTGAGCTTCTGCTAGCTTCTGCTGGTGCATGGTGCGCTTGAAGGTTTTCCGCAGCATATGCTTGGGCTTGCAAGAACTCTCTGAACACACGAAGTTGTCAACGGTCCCACATTGCTTAAACTTTCACTGGGTGCTCACTGGATGCTCAAGGCGCCAACCGATAGTCTCATGCAGTCTAGGACACGGAGCTGGTAAGTCTTCATGTGCGTGCCATGTTTTCGTTCTCCCGCCAGAGGGCGGAGAGCAGTGAGAGCACTGGCAGTGACTCGAGCGACGACGACGCTCTAGTGCTTCAAGGCGGGGCGGGAGACAGTTCGCAGAGTGTTGCCTGGCGTTCCCAAGTGTTGCTGTGAGCAGCAGAGCGCCGTTTCAGCGACATCCTTGCCAGACGTAGACGGCTCGGCGGGCCAGAATGCGCTGGCCATACCAGAGGCAACTGCCCACTTTGACATCAGCTGCTGGCCCAGCTCAGATGCCCCCCCTTGCCCAGCCCTACACTTGCATTCGCTTGCATGTTCGTTTTCTTTTGCCACTCCGAGGCGGAGCAGATGTCAAACCGGGCCACCCTCCCAAGTGGAGAGACCTCAGGAGGATGTTGCTTCCGGGAGAGACCTGGCTGATTCTGGAAGGCAGAATGGCAAGCAACTCGAATCCTGAAGCATCTTGCCTGCGTGCTCGTACCAGATCATTCCAAGCTGAGGATGTTGTGAACATTTTGGGTGGCAACGCCCTGCACTCAGACTGTACATGCTGTGAACTGAACATGCGGAAAGGGGCCGCCCAATTCAGCCGACAAGGTCTGGGGCCACTGTGGCCTTGTCACAAAGGCGGTCGAGGCCGAAGAGCTGTCATGGCCAAGTATTGAGGGCAGCTTCGAGCCTTAATTGCTGATGGTGCGCGGTTCTCTTCCCTGGAGGTCTACCAGTTTCCGGTTCTGTTTGCCAAAGTCGCTGCAGCGAATGGAAAGGCCGGCACGCGCTCCAGTTCCTTTAAAGGTTGTGACATGTGTGTCAATGCCGTGATTGGCGCGTTTCTTTTGTCCTCCATGTCCTTAAATGGAGGAGCAAGGGGGTCCAATCAGCGTGGTGGAGTTGGATTTCTGCGTGGATGTGTTCATGAAGCTTGGACCCGGAATTCAGGCCGACATGCCAGGTCGGCGTAGGTTCGGCGTAGCTTGGGCGTAGCTCGGGCGTAGCTTGGGCATAGCTTCGGTGGCAGCTTCCGCCGTAACTTCGGCGTAGCTTCGGCATTGCTTCGGTGTAGCTGCGGAACAAGAAGCAGCAGGTCATTGTAAAGTAGCCCCCCCCGCAACAGAACCATTTGGTCCGGATTGTTTTGGGGTCTCCTCAACGTTGCTTGGCTTGGTCATGAGCCTTGTGCGACTGAGATTTGAAGTGCTGCAGAGCGCATCGAACATGCCCACGAACCTCAGATGCAGCTTGAGAGTGCCTTTAGACCTCTTGGAATGCCTTTGTGAGAAGCGAGTTGAGAAGCGAGTTGTGAGCCTGTGAGCCTGTGAGCCTGTGAGCCTGTGAGCCTGTGAGCCTGTGAGCCTGTGAGCCTGTGAGCCTGTGAGCCTGTGAGCCTGTGAGCCTGTGAGCCTGTGAGCCTGTGAGCCTGTGAGCCTGTGTGTGTGTGTTTGTTGAATGCAGAAAATGTATTCGGGTATTCGGGGCTGTCATCTGAGGATCTTCCTCTCGCAGATCGGTGTAGTGGTCCACCCAAACACCAGGGATGTTTGCATGGTCCGGAGGGTACGTGGCGGGGTGCCTCGGCCTCGCAAGTTTCATCGGTGTACTTGTGCAGCCGAATGTAGCCTGCGTTGTGACCTGCTCTACAGATCTGTTGCACTTCGCAGCAGATAGAAGTACGCCATGCCAAGGTGCTGTTGCGAAACAGTCATTCTGGCGATCCCTTGATTGTGCAGAGCCTCGCTTGGTCAAAAGTGTACCATCATTTGCCTTCATATGTCTTCATGTGTCTTCACATGTCTTCATGCTGCCTGGAAGCCAAAGCGGCTCGCAATCAGATGCTTTGAGGATCTTGCTTTCGCCCTTCAACCAGGCGACGTTGGACAGGCCCGGCTGATGCAATTGTCGCACTGCGAAGGGGTTGGGGTGGATGAAAGTTGATGATTCGCATGCACAAATTGTCAGTTGAGCTTTGCACTGGCAAAGCGGGTCTAGGTGCTGGTTGTCCGTTGGGGGTGATTTGGACATGTCTATCCCGCAAGCTTGGCCTGAAGGTGCATTTTCTTTGTGTGTTTGTTGATTTGGTTTGGTTTGTCTTGTCCCAGCCTAGCGTTTGACGAACCGCCCGGCCTGTATGCCGACCAAGAGACCGGCCGAATCCACGGGCAAACAGTCTGACCGCCAGACTGAGCCACACAGGGAAGAAGGAACAAAGAAATACATTAGAAACAAAAACATGCAACACAGGCAAACAAGAGCCCGGTTTAGAGTTTAGGGTTGAGGGTCCGGCGCCGAGGTCGTTATTGGCCCAGTCTGTCTCGGAAGTCATGTCAGCACCTGAGACGCGCTGGAGCCCAACGACTGCGGTGCGAGCCTTCTTTCGCGACTTGGCATACACCGGGTCAATGTGTCAGCCATATGCGACCATTTACTTGATGGAAGTGTGAGGGCAGAGCTGCTGAGGCAATGCGCGATTGAAACCGTCCAGGCACCTGCGACATGAAGAAAACACCCAAGTCAACAGCCAACTTGAACACATTTGTGCAGCGATCACTCTTGCTTTCTTCCCCAGGCACTTCAACAGAATCCAGGGATTGTTCTATCATTGGGTTTGTGGAAGGCTTGGGGTTCGGAGTTGAGGTAAATTGAGCTTATGGCCCAAACCGCAACGGAACCCCAAGCTTTCCGAGCATAGAAACACATGTCGTGCCGGGTTTGGCCTCTGTTTTGCAAAATCAAAAAACACGAGCTGGCAGGTTTCCGACCTCCTTTTTCCTGTGTTTTTTCCACATTTATGCCCTCCGCGGTGCTTCCTTCCCTAGAAGAAAAAGCAACAGCAACGTATCTTTGCGAATTGCGTTTTTCCCATGTTGTTGCGGGTTCTCGGCCTTCGTGTGTTGCCACAGAAAACCCACACATTCTGGTTTCGAATTGTGTTGTTCCATGCGCTCCCGCCTTTGATGTGCGCTTTTGTAATCTAGGAAACTCAAGAATGTGCTGGTTGCAGGTGTGTTTTTGCTGTCGTGGCTGTTTGCCGTAGAGGCGGGCTCCCGGTGGGCCAGTGGGTGAGTGAGCCCCCCCCCGTCCGGCCGCGGCAGCAAAAACTAACAAAAACAAAGCACGCCCTTCGCCAGCCAAAAAGGTGCCCCCGCCGCGACATCAAAACAAAGGCCCCCCTGTCACGACAGCAAAACAAAGCACGCGCCCCCCGCCGGCACAGTAGGAGGCTTCTTCGAAACCCAGGATGCCAGCATTGTGTTTGCAACCGGGGTGGGCTGCGCCCCACCTTTTAAACTGAAGCTTCCTTCGAAAAAACTTCCTTCGAAACATACATGAGTGTTCTAAAAATCGCATCACGCGAGTATTGGGAGAATGCCTGAGTTCAGGAAGAACACACATGTGTTCGTTGCGAAAACTGCATGTTTGCCCAATCTTACGGCCTCCGACATGCATGTCCCACAGGAGAAGCCAACGTACCGGCAATGACTTAGTTTTTCGACATGTTATCAAGTCGTGGCCTCCGTCATGTGAAAACCTGAAGCGTGCAGTTGAAGACTGTTTTTTGTGCATCATGACCTCGTGCATTGCGAGTTGTGTTACGACCTCCGTAGGTCGTTTTACCACAAGAAAACCACAAACCAACAAAACGCACGAGTTTGCTTTGATCCCGCTTAACTTTATGACGGGTCAAGCCCCTGCCAGAAAAAAAAAGTATGACGGATGGGAGGGGAGGGGTACTGTAATGGTCGTAATGTTAGGAGGCAGATGCGATTCTGGCGTGCTTGGCTCTGGAGGTACGGCAGGCGAAGCCGTCGCATAAGACTCGCGACGGGCTTAAAATTTAGGGAGCTGTTGGGACTGTTTTTGCAGTTGCAGCCGCAGATTTGGCTACGATGTTCCGTGCGACTGCGTGCGAGGCTTCACAATTGCAGCATGGCTGGTTGGTCAGACCTGTCTGCTCAACGGTTCCTCCGCGCGTGTGGCAGAAGTACTTGCAGCTGACTTGAAATAGGGAGTCCGGGATTCTGCACCAATCTGAGCAGCCGACGTTTGCTTCAGTTAAGGCATAAGCGGAGCCGACTGCCCAAGAAGCATCTGCCAACTCAGAACGATGAGGGCGAAGAGGCAGATGGGGCGCGCGAGTTGCAACAATCCAGCGCCGTGAGGAGTGCTAATTGATGCTTGCAGCTTGCATCTTGCACAATTTTTACGTATCCCTTTGCACAGGTGGCTCGGGGGATGCGCTCCGGATCTCACCTTCTCTTTTGCGGTAGCCCCTTTGTTGGGAAGTGAGTTTTGAACCATTGTGAGAAAGTTTGTGCTGCGTGCCGTCTGAAAATGCCTTTGTTGCCAAGGAGACTGCATTCCAGAGGAGGACGATGCCATCTGCTGCTCCAGTTGCATCTCAGATGCAGCCCATCGAGGTTCCTTTTGGCAGGTTGCCAGCAGGCCTCAGTGAGCAGCTGAGGGAATCCACCGAAGGGGCGTTGCGGACCGCTCAAAGGCACAGTGTTTCCAGGGCTTCGAGGTCGTAATAGGTCGTAAACCAGCTTGAACTGCTAATGAAGATCACTCAGTGGAATGCAAATCCAAGCATCTGAATTGACTCGCTTCGCTTGACATCACCGACGTAGCCGCTCAAGATACAAAATAGGCCCAGGGCCAATGAGGCCAATTGGGGCCTCTTTTCATGGTACCACCTGCCCTCGGTGATTAGGGCCAATTAGGGCCAAGAAGGGCCAGGGGGTTCCTGAGTGTTTCGTAAGCCTTGAAAGCCCTTGAACGGAGAGCATCCCTGCCCAATGCAGGCCGTCAGTGCCAGTCCTGCCTCCGCACCCAGTGGGCGCTGCCGTCAGATGAACCTGATCCCCAGGTTGCCTTTGCAGAGGAGAGCAGCTCTTGAAAATGAATCAAGTTCCTATCTGGGGCCCTCTAGGACTCAAGGAGTGCAGATCCCTCAAGATGCAAACAGAAGCTACATGGCAAAGTCAGCAAATCACGTTTTAGCAAAAAGAAGTTGGCAAATGCTTGTCTTCCAAAACTGCGACGCCCTGCGCCCTGTCCTCTGCAGGATGTGTTGCGCATTGTGCCGGTGAAAGATGACCGCGTCCTGCCAGAAGAGCTGGTCACCAATCTGCTGGAGACAGGCCGTTTGGGGAGAATTCAAGACAACCAAGGCTGGTTCACATTGGTTTACCCTTGTGGCAGGCTTGTGGACGCAGGTCAACTTGGACGAGTCTTTGCCTTTCCACCGTCAGTCGGCCGGTAGCCCTGATGTGCGGCAGCTCCGCGTAGCGACAATTTAGTTCGCAAGCTGGGAAGCTGCGGGAAGCTGCGGGCAGGATGCCACGCCTTAAGAGCCCAAAAACATCGAAAAAACCAACCCCGAGCAAATAATATTGAACTTCTAGCTTTGTAGCAGCATCGCGGCATAGCAACCCAAAGGCATGCGGCGCTGTGGAGTCTCCTTCAGAATATTTCAGAATGAGATCATGTTCTGCAGTACCTGCAGTGCCGGAGCTGCTTCGTGACTGGACAGGACTTTGAATTCCATGTCCAGGACACACGGCTGGGGACCACCTCTTAAGCTCTTGGAAGGCATCATAGGGGGCCCCCCCTGGCGAAGGGCCTTTGGAGGCACTCATAGGGCACTCTTGAAACTTGGGGAGTGCTCTCGGAATGCCCCAAACCCCAAACCCCCCCAAAGTGCCCCGTGGTGGAACTCTGCGGAACACTGAAGACACTGCAAGAGCATCACCCCGAAGTGATCGAAGTGTTTAGGGATGCGGATGCACTGCGTGCCGTAGATGTGTCTGAAAGTTGCTGCGGTGTTCCTAGATCCACCACGCCGCGCCGACCGTCCAAACCGGTAGCTGTTGCAAGCAGTGGGGCCGTCTTACACTGAAAAAGTTGATTTTGAAGGAGACGCCCGTCATTCTGCGAAGGTGTCGTGCAGCTTGCAAGACTCACGGCTGTTGTGAGACCACTCTCGCCAGCGCAGCCTCATTAACAATTGGTATCTGCCGCAGCGCATTTGATAAGTCAAGCCAGCCGCAAGGATTGCTCAAGGGTGCTTGTGATCAGACTGTGATCAGCATGATTCGTGGCCTCGTCATCGCGTTCCTGTGCTCACAAGCTAGGGCCGGACCCCTGAGTGGTCTGCTGGCGAGCCTGACAGGTCATGACAATGCCACCTGCGCCGACACCCATCATGCCTGTGCCACGAGCTTTGGTGCCTTCTTCCCAGAGACCGCAGCGACACATGCAGCTGACCACTTCTTGCCCGATATCTCCAGCTCAGTGGCAGATGCAAGCGATGCGCACCACGACGGGCACTTGGAACAGATCGACTCATCTTCCTTGCTGACCGGTCGGCGTCCCAAGATGTTCGTGAGCTTCGAGAAGAAGTGATGTGGCCAACCTCGAAGAACTGAGCTGCTGGGCTGTGAGGGAAATCAAGCCACTTGGCCAGCACGCGCCTGCATGTAGAGAACCATCTTATGCCAGCGCCAATGCTGGTTTCGGCAGCTGTGACGGCCGCCTACAGATCGGCGAAGAGGTTTGCATCAGACGTATCAGACAAATCTGTAATGTAGATAGTCCCAGATGATTCCATCTGCAGTGTAGCCGGTTCTAAGGTGGCAGGCGTCTCTAGGCTGTTGAGACACGGTTCGGATGTGATCCATGGCTGCCGCAAAAACATAAACCTGTCACTTTGGGACATGGGAGCAATCACAGCTTGCACAGAGCCTTTGCCAACATGACCCATGACTAGCAGCGACGGGCAGACGGGAGAATTGCATATGTCGATCTGGATTTGGAGCTGTGATACGTGAAATGCATTCTTGCTGCAGCACATTCAGCTAAGAAGCCAAACTGCGTCGTGTGATTCGCCCGAGATGATTCGTGGCCTCGTCATCGCGTTCCTGTGCTCACAAGCTAGGGCCGGACCCCTGAGTGGTCTGCTGGCGAGCCTGACAGGTCATGACAATGCCACCTGCGCCGACACCCATCATGCCTGTGCCACGAGCTTTGGTGCCTTCTTCCCAGAGACCGCAGCGACACATGCAGCTGACCACTTCTTGCCCGATATCTCCAGCTCAGTGGCAGATGCAAGCGATGCGCACCACGACGGGCACTTGGAACAGATCGACTCATCTTCCTTGCTGACCGGTCGGCGTCCCAAGATGTTCGTGAGCTTCGAGAAGAAGTGATGTGGCCAACCTCGAAGAACTGAGCTGCTGGGCTGTGAGGGAAATCAAGCCACTTGGCCAGCACGCGCCTGCATGTAGAGAACCATCTTATGCCAGCGCCAATGCTGGTTTCGGCAGCTGTGACGGCCGCCTACAGATCGGCGAAGAGGTTTGCATCAGACGTATCAGACAAATCCGTAACGTAGATAGTCCCAGATGATTCCATCTGCAGTGTAGCCGGTTCTAAGGTGGCAGGCGTCTCTAGGCTGTTGAGACACGGTTCGGATGTGATCCATGGCTGCCGCAAAAACATAAACCTGTCACTTTGGGACATGGGAGCAATCACAGCTTGCACAGAGCCTTTGCCAACATGACCCATGACTAGCAGCGATGGGCAGACGGGAGAATTGCATATGTCGATCTGGATTTGGAGCTGTGATACGTGAAATGCATTCATGCTGCAGCACATTCAGCTAAGAAGCCAAACTGCGTCGTGTGATTCGCCCGAGATGATTCGTGGCCTCGTCATCGCGTTCCTGTGCTCACAAGCTAGGGCCGGACCCCTGAGTGGTCTGCTGGCGAGCCTGACAGGTCATGACAATGCCACCTGCGCCGACACCCATCATGCCTGTGCCACGAGCTTTGGTGCCTTCTTCCCAGAGACCGCAGCGACACATGCAGCTGACCACTTCTTGCCCGATATCTCCAGCTCAGTGGCAGATGCAAGCGATGCGCACCACGACGGGCACTTGGAACAGATCGACTCATCTTCCTTGCTGACCGGTCGGCGTCCCAAGATGTTCGTGAGCTTCGAGAAGAAGTGATGTGGCCAACCTCGAAGAACTGAGCTGCTGGGCTGTGAGGGAAATCAAGCCACTTGGCCAGCACGCGCCTGCATGTAGAGAACCATCTTATGCCAGCGCCAATGCTGGTTTCGGCAGCTGTGACGGCCGCCTACAGATCGGCGAAGAGGTTTGCATCAGACGTATCAGACAAATCCGTAACGTAGATAGTCCCAGATGATTCCATCTGCAGTGTAGCCGGTTCTAAGGTGGCAGGCGTCTCTAGGCTGTTGAGACACGGTTCGGATGTGATCCATGGCTGCCGCAAAAACATAAACCTGTCACTTTGGGACATGGGAGCAGTCACAGCTTGCACAGAGCCTTTGCCAACATGACCCATGACTAGCAGCGATGGGCAGACGGGAGAATTGCATATGTCGATCTGGATTTGGAGCTGTGATACGTGAAATGCATTCTTGCTGCAGCACATTCAGCTAAGAAGCCAAACTGCGTCGTGTGATTCGCCCGAGATGATTCGTGGCCTCGTCATCGCGTTCCTGTGCTCACAAGCTAGGGCCGGACCCCTGAGTGGTCTGCTGGCGAGCCTGACAGGTCATGACAATGCCACCTGCGCCGACACCCATCATGCCTGTGCCACGAGCTTTGGTGCCTTCTTCCCAGAGACCGCAGCGACACATGCAGCTGACCACTTCTTGCCCGATATCTCCAGCTCAGTGGCAGATGCAAGCGATGCGCACCACAACGGGCACTTGGAACAGATCGACTCATCTTCGTTGCTGACCGGTCGGCGTCCCAAGATGTTCGTGAGCTTCGAGAAGAAGTGATGTGGCCAACCTCGAAGAACTGAGCTGCTGGGCTGTGAGAGAATCAAGCCACTACTTGGGCAGCAAGTTCCTGACTTGTAGTTCCTTGCCCAATACTAGTAGTCTGGCCGGACGACGGTTCATGCCAGTCGGTCGTTTGTATCTACAGTGTAGCAATGTGTAGAATCTACAGGAGACCTTGCAGCATCAGAAAGTGACGGGAAATTAGTCCGTTCGTGCCAGCAAGCTCTCGTAAAGCTGCAAACTTCGCTTCTCTTATGCTCCTGCTCTCTTGTGCTCTTTTGCAGGCCCCACGCTGGCGGTCATACAGTGGGCTGCCGATGGCAAGCAGTAGCCTCAGTAGCCTCGGAACATGAGCATGTTAGGTGGAAAACGTGCGCAGTCTGAGCTGCCGGATTCCGGGTGCCTTGCAATCTGCAGCAGTGTGCAACGCCGCTGTTCACAGAATCTGTTTCGCTTCTCGGGTCTTTTCGCAGGCCGATGCGCGGCAGGCATTTGCTGCAAGGGCGGTGCCGAAGTGTCAGGCCAGGAGTGTTTTTTTTTATTTTCATTTTTTCTTTGTAGGTCTCTCTGTTGACATTGTGTCTCTGTTGCGTCTCTCGCATCGCATTTTCATCTTCAAAGGCCGGCTCCTGGTGGCCGGCGGCTTCGACTTCTCGGAGGAGCAAGCCTCGGCTTCCTGTGAGGAGCCGGAGAAGGGGGGAGGGAGAAGGGCGGGAGGGAGAAGGGCGGAGGAACCAGGAGAGGGGGAGGTGCGACATGCTACGAGCTTGTGGGGTGTGCATCTTTGCAGCCTGAGCACCAAAAAGCCACCGAGTTCGTCCGAACCTCTCAAGAGCCAGCCCGACTTCCTAAACCCTTAGAGCTTGCTTCGCCAGTCCATTGACATTGCCGACCTGCTGGCTGAACGCCCAGCTGTGCAGGCCAGAAGTCACATGATTGCTGATATTGTTTGGACAACAGTGGGAAACAGTTTAGGGCTTTAAGGGATTCAATGTCCATGTTGGTCCTCACAAGGCGTGCCCTTCCTTGCTGCATCCCAGAGCAGCAGCCTGAGCTGGCGAATTTGGTGCTTCCGCATGCTTCCACAACAGCACGAAATTTTGCAGTCGGCGTCGCCAAGGGTGTTTGAGATGTGTTTGAGGGTTCGACTGGGTGAGGCTTGCCCAGGTCTTGCTGCGGCATCCGAGGCACGTGGAGCGTGTTCTGTACCCACATTTGCCGTGCTTCCCTGGTTGCAGGCTGTGCTTGCAGTGGGTGGTGGAAGCAGCATGTTCACTGCAGCAGAGGCACAGCATCTGTGTTGACTGTGTGCGGGCTGAATAAACTGCTCCCGAAGGCTTTCCGCAGCGTGGAGGTGCTCTGCACGGCTGCGACGAAGGCCCCATGTTGCAACGGACCATAGCGGACCTGAGCAGTTGGCTGAGCTGTGCTTCCGCTTGTCTGCCCGCCCAGTGGCAGTATGGACCATCTTTGCAAAGGCCCGGGCTGAGAGAAGAGACGACATGAGACGACCTTAACATCTCGTTTTGTGTTGAGGCCCCGCTGTGCAGCCGGGGTTTGTGCGTCTTGGCACAAATATGCAAACATGCATTTTCTCAGAGTTCTTCTTTAGAAGCCTTCGTAGCATTGTGATGCTTGTGGTGGCCATCTGATGGAAGAAACAAAGATAATTTTCCCGAGCAAATGGAGTATAAACACGTGTGACTAGCAGTACCACCTGCCACAATACATACATTGCCTACGTGATCATTATTCATACAACAAATATTCTAGATGTGTATGTATGTCACTTCAAGTTTTAATCACATGTATGTAAATCACTAACCGTTTGAGCCCGATCGATATATGAGTAATACAACATTTATAAACTGTATATTCAAGCAAACAATGACTAAATGCATACTGCAGTGTGGCGCTACTGTTAATGGATACCTATCTTTGTGCAAACGGCAGAGTTATCATGGAGCCTCTTTGAGACCATCTGTGAGCCTCTCAATCTCTAAAGGTCACCTCCATGGGACACGCCTATGCGATCAGCGGCTATGCAGGCAACGACTGCTACGAGGCGAGTGCCTAAGCGTTGAAGGTGCTAATGGGTCTGTGGCATCCGACAGCATAGGAGTCCGTGGAGTGGGCGGACCTCGCGAGCTCGGAGGGGCTTCTCCGCGGCTGGTTTGCTGGCCCTGCGCTCTCGAAGGCTGCGACCGCTTACATCAAGATTGATTGCCATCGGGCGGGGCACAGGCGCGAGCAGGCTGCGCAGCTTGCTTTGGTCCAGACGGATGCGCTCCACACTCAGCTGGGACGCTCAGGGGCTCAAGGCGGCTCACAGATCTCACAGCACACAGAGGTCTGGGTCCTGGGTGGCGGCTGTGACGAGTCGGCAAGTCTGGCTCGCGCCTCGCGCTCCAGATACAGTGGGGTACAGAAACACATCAGAAGCACATCAACCGTAGTGCCATCCTGAAGGACACGGTGGAATGCTTGGACCCTCGAGAAGGTCGGTGGCGTCAGGCAGCAAAATCTGTTGCAGCACAGCGAGTGCTGCGATCACTCTCGATCGTTGAGCATTCAGTATAATGGGACCACAACCACGGCCATGGCTTGGATGTTATTGATGTTATTGTTCACGTTTCGGCAGAACTTGCAACATTGCAGGTTCCCTGCATGCCTGGGCGCCGGCGGTGCTTTGCAGCAAGCTTCGGTGTCGATCGCCGCTAGTCTGACGTTATTGGCTAGCGAAATGGTTCATCCCTGGTTTTGAAAGTTTGTTTCACGCGCAGGCAAGCTGTATATCTACGGCCTGCCTGGCCTGTTTAAGAGCTTTTGACAGCGAGAAAGATGCAACCCGCCGTGGCACCCACCCACCTGAGCACCCTTCTCTGACACCGAAGGCACTGTCAATTGGGTCAGCCGGTAAGAACCTGAACACTCCACGGTTTGCACCCCCGTGACAGAACGTGCCAGAACTTCCTCGGGGCCTTGGGGTTTTGGGGGTGGGGCGGAGTCGGTAGTTGGTGCGACCCTAAGTTCTGCTTGGCCCCTTTTTGTTTGTCGCCACAGGTAGTATGCCCCAGGATACAGCACGTTTCGAGAAGACTTCTGTAACTTTCACTTGTGCTGACAGTTGCGAGCGAATGTGCGTGCGGGGTTTCCGCTCGCGAGGAGCTGCGGTGTAAAAGTCACGGCTCTATTTTGTCTCTGCCAGGAGGATGGAACCGTGAGCGCTGGCATGAAGACAGCGCCGCTCGTCTGGACTTGCGCAGCCTCCGCCCCGGGCCCAGACTTTGAGACTCTAGCAATGTCCGCATCCCCGCGTGAGACGGGAGGGTTTAGAGGTGCTCAAAGGGGCTTTCCGCCAATTCTCTTGTTGGAAGGATGGGAGATGCTGCCATCGCCAGCAGGGCAGGCGGGTGGTGCGGCGTCTGGTATATATTGAAAGCAGATTTTGCACAGCGGTTTCATGTGCCGATTTCCCGACTTCCAGCTCTCTTTCCAGGTTGCCGAACCAAGCTGAAATCAGATCTTTCTCGGAACCCCCAATGAATTGGTTAGGAGTTCGCAGCTCCAGAACTACGCATCATTTCCATCTGCCACTGTCTGTCGCTGTCCGTCGCTCTCACTCAGACGGCTTGACATCAGTCTGTCACCCTCGTGGCCCTGAAGGCAAACAGCATCATTCCGTATCACTTCGTGAGTGGATGTACAGCGTTGTAGGCCTTGGCTGCGAGTTGGTAGAGGTGTAACGCGGTGGCAGTTCTGCAAGCGCATGCAGTCTGCAAATCGGGACTCTGCATCGGGCATCTATGTACCTGTGTAGAAGCTCAGAGCTGTCAAAGAATGTCTTTATCTTTCCCCAATCCTGGTGGACACTTCGGCAGCTCTGAGTCAGTTTAAGCCCGTGAGACATGCAGGCCGTGCTGGGATACTTCAGCCGCAACGCTGGGTCCAGTCGGCCTGTGCTCCACGTGAAAACTAGGGTTTCGCCGAAGGCGGTCCAATACTTATCACAGCCGTGACATCACAAGCGAAGAGAAAGCTGAGCGCGTGGCTTGCAATGTCATTGCCCACCATCTTCGGTTGCCACCATTGAGGGAGAGCGATGGCTCACCCGATGCAGCGATCAGCAAACCGACTTGCACAGCTCAGCGACGAAGTCTCCACCGCAGAGAGAAACGCATCAACCCTTCTAGTGATCGACTCGTGGACGATCCAGCCATGCAGTTGCCCCGCCATGTGTCGGGGTGCGGCCCAAAGATGGCCGCCAGACAGAGGACTGACATAGTCAGACATAGTCATGTCAGGGCCATGTAACTCAGCATTCCACGCTGAGCACGTCATGCAAACCAGGGCTTTCGCCTGTGCTTCTTGGAACTGATTTAGAAACAACAATGTATACATACATATATATGTATACAGAATATAATGATCTATTCAATACAACATAACGAAATATAATATGATATAATATGATATAATCTGATACAATGTGATATTATATGCTAAGCTAATAATATACATATGTATGTATGTATGTATGTATGTATGTATGTATGTATGTATGTATGTATGTATGTATGTATGTATGTATATATATATATATGTACATTTTCTTTCAGCCCCTTTGTTGTCTTGTGACCCCGCTTGTGCACATTGCGTCATGAGGAGTGTGAGATGCATGCTTGGTGGCGATGTGGCCTCCTGTTGTGGGCGCTGCTCTCCGTGCCTCGGCGTGGCAAAATTTGATCGGTGCTTTCGGAGCTTTGTAGTCTTGCTCGCTTCCAAGGGATGCAGCGGCCTGGAGTTCTCCCTCATTCTTGACCAGGACTTGCCTAGTGCACAGGGCAGGTTTCAAGGAATCATCAGGTCGTTTGTTGGGATCCTATCCCCTTTCGGAATGTGTCTGTTTGTCCACGTGGGTCCTGCCATTCAACCGGGCACGCTCCAATATCCGGCGCCGTTTGCAGGACGCGAAGGGGCACAAACAAAACGAAGCAAAGCTCTCAGATGCTCACAGATCTCAGATGCTTGTTAGATCCTCTGTGGGGGAGGTTTTTGATGGGCACAGGGAAGCCGGCCGAGAGGTGTAAGCCTTTCGTGATTGAGCCAGGCCGCCGTGCGCGCATTGCAAGCAGGCGATGCTGAGAGGGCCTTGCAGAAGCTGCAGAAGGCCAGCCATTGCATGTTTCGTGGCTTTGCATCGCTTTCAGTGGTGTTGCATTGCACATACTGCGCCCTGTGGGTCTCTTCGGGGGCTTGAGGCGCTGAGGCGCCACAGCAGCGCGGCGCTGCAGAACACAGTCGGCCGCTTGGTTCCAGTGACCCGAAGCACAGCGCCTTTCACAGTCACGGCGTGCTTTGAGAAGACCCTGCAGGTCGGTGTGGCGTTGATGTGCTGCCCTAAGCCTCAGCAGATTTTCAACACGGCGGTTCAGAATGCATGATTTGCGCAGCCAAGAAAGGTACCTGGCGAAGTCCCGTCAACCTTTCTCGAAGGCCGATCTGCTTCACGAATACATTTCGTGACTGGTCCTATTGGCGCGTCCAGGACAAGCTGCTACAAGCAGCTCTCCGTGCATTCAACCAAACGGTCTTGCTCGCTGGCGGTAGCTTAGGCGTGCAGCCTCCAGACGCATTAGCGGTAATTATGAGTGATAGGTAGTTGAGGCGCTTGGGTTCTAACGGTTCAGCTTTCAACTATTATTAGCTACATCTCGGAACTGTTGACCTCCGTTTTGGAATGTACTACTTACCTTTTGAGATTTCGCTTCAAAGCATGAGCAGCTTGAGCGCCCATTAGTAGCGCCCATTAGGTGCGTGGCTTGTGTGCTTGTGTCAGGCATGACAGGCGGCGCCAACAACGGTGGCAAGGGAAGGCCTCATGTGCTGGGAGAGTCGGTCCTCCACCACAGTGATCCATACTTCCAACTCAAAAAGACTGTCACGCCTTGTTGCAGGGCCAAGCCGCAAGCCACCGGGGGCAGCGACTTGGAGGTTGGCTTCGGCTGCCACCTATGCTGTTCCGCTTCCCTGAAGCGTCTAGTAGGATGCTTGATAGAGGGTTCCCTGGAAGAGTGAAGCTTTCCTGCAAAGTGGAAGGGCAATGAAGGGTGGGTGCAGGTGGCCCTGGCCAACCAGGCCCTGGCAACAAGGCCGTCCCTGTTGCTCCTGAGATGTGGGGGGTCCTTGGGTCCTGTGCCGGAAGTTTTGGAAGTCTCTTGTACTTTAGATTGTTAATGACGGCCATGGCTGTCGTGCCTTTGTATGATACTTCGAGTGGAAGAAGATGTCAGACTTCCATGGGGTCGTAACCAGTGGTAGCTTCAAGGTTACTGCCCGCATGCACGGAGGTATGTAGAGGCCAGTCGCCTGAATCGTCTTGGCATCCAGCTGGATCTGCAGAATCGCTGGGAAGAGGCCTTCAATATCCTTCAATTTCAATACTTGAACATTTTTGAAACACAGCCGACTTTGTGTTAAAAGAGCTTCGATGTCAGGGATAGTTGTCGCCAGAAAGCCAGGCGGCCGCCGTCCTACGAGAAGCGCAAAAGGTGCACTCACTTCTTCCAGGGTGCATGGGAAGGTTACTTCAGAATGGGAGGACGTCACCTGATCCAGGTCGCTCCAAGCTACGATCCTTTGATCACAAGCAACCTTGGCACCGTGGGCGCCCAAAGAAGCTGAAGGACCTGAGCAGGGCCCCTTCCATGTGCACGTGCTGCTTCCTTTTTTAAGGTGATCTACAAGAACGCGACCCACAGGTCCTCTGGCTGGCTGGAGGCACGTCTACGTGGTTGGGCTTCGCCAAGGGCTCGCATCGCGGTACGCTTTGGCTTCGTAGAAGTAACATGGAGTTACTATGAGTTGCTGTTCAAGGACAAGACATTTGCAGACGAAAGACGTGTTGCGCCGTCTGGAAGAGGAGAGAGGTGGAGAGAGAGAGGCAGGCGGAGCCCCTCTACGAGCGAGCGCGGGAGCTTGTGCAGCGAGCGCACAAGGATCTGCCAGGCGCCCATGATGGCTAGGTGCAGTTTAGGGTTCAGGAGATTGAGGCTCGGTGTGTTTTGGGGTGTTGAGCGACATTCATGACCGGCTTGTGGGGTGCATTGAACTTTTCGGTTCGAAGTTCATGTGATGTTGTGCACCGCTCTCTCGAGCCTCCCTTTCCCGCGAGCCCACCGCTGAAGGGGATCCCTCTGTCCGACATGCAAATTGGGGGTCCGACATGCCAAGGTAGGTTTTCGAGATGCAAACTTTCCTGGAATCCGACATGCCAGAGGAGGTTTTCGAGATGCAAGTGGTAAATTCTGGGTCCAACCGGCACAGGTGGGTTTTCGAGATGCAAACTCCCGATTTCGCGTAAAATTAGTAAATTAGTAAAATAATAAAATAGTAAAATAGTAAAATAGTAAAATCGTAAAATAGTGAAATAGTAAAATCTGGGTCGAACCGGCACAGGTGGGTTTTCGAGATGCAAACTGCTGAGGCCGTGGAGCAAATCCTATTAAAAGTAAAGAGAGAAGGAGGAATTGTTTCTGGATTTCGCGCGAAATCAGTAAAGTGGCAATTCTGGGTCCAACCGGCACAGGTGGGTTTTCGAGATGCAAACTCCCGATTTCGCGTAAAATTAGTAAATGAGAAAAATTATAAAATAGTAAAATCTGGGTCGAACCGGCGCAGGTGTGTTTTCGAGATGCAAACTGCTGAGGCCGTGGAGGAAATCCTATTAAAAGTAAAGAGAGAAGGAGGAGTTTTTTTTTCTGGATTTTGCGTGCAATCAGTAAAGTGGTAAATTCTGGGTCCAACCGGCACAGGTGGGTTTTCGAGATGCAAACTCCCGATTTCGCATTAGTAAAATAGCAAAATAGAAAAAAAAGTAAAATAGTAAAATAGTAAAATCTGGGTCGAACCGGCACAGGTGGGTTTTCGAGATGCAAACTGCTGAGGCCAAGGAGGAAATCCGATTAAAAGTAAAGAGAGGAGGAGGAGTTTTTTTCTGGATTTCGCGCGAAATCAGTAAAGTGGTAAATTCTGGGTCCAACCGGCACAGGTGGGTTTTCGAGATGCAAACTCCCGATTTCGCGTAAAATTAGTTAAATAGTAAAATAGTAAATAGTAAAATAGTAAAATAGTAAAATCTGGGTCGAACCGGCGCAGGTGTGTTTTCGAGATGCAAACTGCTGAGGCCGTGGAGGAAATCCTATCAAAAGTAAAGAGAGAAGGAGGATTTTTTTTTCTGGATTTCGCGCGAAATCAGTAAAGTGGTAAAATCTGGGTCCAACCGGCACAGGTGGGTTTTCGAGATGCAAACTCCCGATTTCGCGTAAAATTAGTAAATTAGTAAAATAGTAAAATAGTAAAATAGTAAAATCTGGGTCGAACCGGCACAGGTGGGTTTTCGAGATGCAAACTGCTGAGGCCGTGGAAGAAATCCTATTAAAAGTAAAGAGAGAAGGAAGAGTTTTTTCTAATCAGTAAAGTGGTAAAATCTGGGTCCAACCGGCACAGGTGGGTTTTCGAGATGCAAACTCCCGATTTAGCGTTAAATTTAGTAAAATAGTAAATAGTAAAATAGTAAAATAGTAAAATAGTAAAATAGTAAAATAGTAAAATAGTAAAATAGTAAAATAGTAAAATAGTAAAATCTGGGTCGGACCGGCACAGGTGGGTTTTCGAGATGCAAACTGCTGAGCCCATGGAGGAAATCCTATTAAAAGTAAAGAGAGAGGGAGGAATTTTCTCTGGATAATAGAATCCTGGTCCGACATGCAAGGTTGGGTTTTCGAGATGCAAGCTCCCGATGTCCCGTAAAATGAGTAACATAGTAAAATAGTAAAATAGTTAAAGAGTAAATTTTAAAATAGTAAAATAGTAAAATATTAAAATAGTAAAATAGTAAAATAGCAAAATAGTAAAATCTGGGTCGGACCGGCACAGGTGGGTTTTCGAGATGCAAACTGCTGAGCCCGTGGAGGAAATCCTAGTAAAACTAAAGAGACAGGGAGGAATTTTCTCTGGATAATAGGATCTTGGTCCGACATGCAAGGTTGGGTTTTCGAGATGCAAACTCCCGATTTCCCGTAAAATTAGTAAAATTAGTAAAATTAGTAAAATAGGAAAAAAAGTAAAATAGTGAAATAGTAAAATAGTAAAATAGTCAAATCTGGGTCGGACCGGCACAGGTGGGTTTTCGAGATGCAAACTGCTGAGGCCGTGGAGGAAATCCTATTAAAAGTAAAGAGAGAGGGATGAATATTCTCTGGATTTCGCGCGAAATCAGGAAAGCGGTAATTTCTGGGTCCAACCAGCACAGGTGGGTTTTCGAGATGCAAACTCCCGATTTCCCGTAAAATTAGTAAAATAGTAAAATAGTCAAATAGAAAATAGTATAGTAAAATAGTAAAATAGTAAAATAGTAAAATAGTAAAATAGTAAAATAGTAAAATAGTAAAATAGTAAAATAGTAAAATAGTAAAATAGTAAAATAGTAAAATAGTAAAATAGTAAAATAGTAAAATAGTAAAATAGTAAAATCTGGGTCGGACCGGCACAGGTGGGTTTTCGAGATGCAAACTGCTGAGCCCGTGGAGGAAATCCTATTAAAAGTAAAGAGAGAGGGAGGAATTTTCTCTGGATTTCGCGCGAAATCAGGAAATCGGTAATTTCTGGGTCCAACCGGCACAGGTGGGTTTTCGAGATGCAAACTCCCGATTTCTCGTAAAAATAGTAAAATAGTAAAATAGTAAAATAGTAAAATAGTAAAATAGTAAAATAGTAAAATAGTAAAATAGTAAAATAGTAAAATAGTAAAATAGTAAAATAGTAAAATAGTAAAATAGTAAAATAGTGAAATAGTAAAATCTGGGTCGGACCGGCACAGGTGGGTTTTCGAGATGCAGGCTGCTGAGCCTGTGGAGGAAATCCTATTAACAGTAAATAGACAGGGGGAATTTTCTCTGGATTTCGCGCGAAATCAGTAAAGCGGTAATTTCTGGGTCCAACCGGCACAGGTGGGTTTTCGAGATGCAAACTCCCGATTTCCCGTAAAATTAGTAAAATAGCAAAATAGTAAAATAGTAAAATAGTAAAATAGTAAAATAGTAAAATAGTAAAATAGTAAAATAGTAAAATAGTAAAATAGTAAAATAGTAAAACCTGGGTCGGACCGGCACAGGTGGGTTTTCGAGATGCAAACTGCTGAGCCCGTGGAGGAAATCCTATTAAAAGTAAAGAGAGAGGGAGGAATTTTCTCTGGATTTCGCGCGAAATCAGGAAATCGGTAATTTCTGGGTCCAACCGGCACAGGTGGGTTTTCGAGATGCAAACTCCCGATTTCTCGTAAAAATAGTAAAATAGTAAAATAGTAAATAGTAAAATAGTAAAATAGTAAAATAGTAAAATAGTAAAATAGTAAAATAGTAAAATAGTAAAATAGTAAAATAGTAAAATAGTAAAATAGTAAAATAGTAAAATAGTAAAATAGTAAAATAGTAAAATAGTAAAATAGTAAAATAGTAAAATAGTAAAATAGTAAAATAGTAAAATAGTAAAATAGTAAAATAGTAAAATAGTAAAATAGTAAAATAGTAAAATAGTAAAATAGTAATCTGGGTCGGACCGGCACAGGTGGGTTTTCGAGATGCTTACTGCTGAGCCCGTGGAGGAAATCCTATTAAAAGTAAAGAGACAGGGAGGAGTTTTCTCTGGATAATAGAATCCTGGTCCGACATGCAAGGTTGGGTTTTCGAGATGCAAACTCCCGATGTCCCGTAAAATTAGTAAAATAGTAAAATAGTAAAATCTGGGTCGGACCGGCACAGGTGGGTTTTCGAGATGCAAACTGCTGGGCCCGTGGAGGAAACCCTATTAAAAGCAAAGAGAGAGGGAGGAATTTTCTCTGGATAATAGAATCCTGGTCCGACATGCAAGGTTGGGTTTTCGAGATGCAAACTCCCGATTTCCCGTAAAATTAGTAAAATAGTAAAATAGTAAAATAGTAAAATAGTAAAATAGTAAAATAGTAAAATAGTAAAATAGTAAAATAGTAAAATAGTAAAATCTGGGTCGGACCAGCACAGGTGGGTTTTCGAGATGCAAACTGCTGAGCCCGTGGAGGAAATCCTATTAAAAGTAAAGAGACAGGGAGGAATGTTTTCTGGATAATAGAATCCTGGTCCGACATGCAAGGTTGGGTTTTCGAGATGCAAACTCCCGATTTCCCGTAAAATTAGTAAAATAGTAAAATAGTAAAATCTGGGTCGGACCGGCACAGGTGGGTTTTCGAGATGCAAACTGCTGAGCCCGTGGAGGAAATCCGATTAAAAGTAAAGAGACAGGGAGGAATTTTCTCTGGATAATAGAATCCTGGTCCGACATGCAAGGTTGGGTTTTCGAGATGCAAACTCCCGATTTCCCGTAAAATTAGTAAAATAGTAAAATAGTAAAATAGTAAAATAGTAAAACAGTAAAATAGTAAAATAGTAAAATAGTAAAATAGTAAAATAGTAAAACAGTAAAATAGTAAAATAGTAAAATCTGGGTCGGACCGGCACAGGTGGGTTTTCGAGATGCAAACTGCTGAGCCCGTGGAGGAAATCCAATTAAAAGTAAAGACACAGGGAGGAATTTTCTCTGGATAATAGAATCCTGGTCCGACATGCAAGGTTGGGTTTTCGAGATGCAAACTCCCGATTTCCCGTAAAATTAGTAAAATAGTAAAATAAAATAGTAAAATAGTAAAATAGTAAAATAGTAAAATCTGGGTCGGACCGGCACAGGTGGGTTTTCGAGATGCAAACTGCTGAGCCCGTGGAGGAAATCCTATTAAAAGTAAAGAGACAGGGAGGAATTTTCTCTGGATAATAGAATCCTGGTCCGACATGCCAGGTTGGGTTTTCGAGATGCAAACTCCCGATTTCCCGTAAAATTAGTAAAATAGTAAAATAGTAAAATCTGGGTCGGACCGGCACAGGTGGGTTTTCGAGATGCAAACTGCTGAGCCCGTGGAG